CTCTTTTTTGTTCTTTCTCTTTTCTTTACAGTATCTTGCTTTGTTTACACGCACACCTTTCCTGCCACCTCTTACGCTCTTTCTTTGCGCTTCAAGAATCATACTTGTTTCTGCCTCTGGACGAGATTTGTGTGAGTTTCCTGAATACGGCACTGCCCACCACCCACCTATTTTTTGATGCCGATCCCTGACTGAAGGAAGAATGTCGATGGGCGGATCTTCACTGCTCCACCCGGCCGGTGGCGGGTAATTTTCAATCTCGGATTTCGGACCCTTGCGAACTTGTGATACGGAAACGGCGGCCGTTCATTCCTCGACGCGTTGACAGTCGTCGTCGTCGTCTTCGTCTCCATCTCGACCTCCACGAAACAATCCATCGTCAATGGCATAGCATGATGCCTCCGCGTCTCAGGATATCATTCTGTGACAGTAGTAGATCCAGGGAATGCCCCGATACATCGAATCATATTAGTTGACAGATCTCAAGAAGTCAATGCATTTCCCCAGGCTTTGTTTTCCCCTCCCTCCCCTCTTCGATGTACAGTACATGCGTGGATGCGTATCTCCGTCCAGATCCTCCAAATACCACATGGATGCGCAGAAGTCCCTACAGCAGAGTCAACTGATCAATCAAGCGCCTCCCGGAGATATCAACATGGTCTACAGAAATAGAACATCACCGGAAATCCTATTCAGGCTCATTATTCTCCGGCTTTTCTGCCTTACTGAGTCCCTCTTGGTATTTGTAAATGTTATGCTTCTAAGCTTGCGTCGACCATTTTGAGGCAATCCCGTTCTACTAGGTTGCTTACTAGAGAGACCTGGTAGCCTTCATGATGGAATGTTCAAGAGAGTGATCACCGTTGCTCGTCTATCTTAAACTGAACACTCTTGATAATGCGAAAGACTGTATGTCTTTTTCCCTTTCTTATTCTTTTCCATGATGTTTGTGGTGGTACGGATGAAATGACAGCTGGTTTTTGGCTGCTTCTGGACTCCAGCATCAATCCTCCATACATTCTCGGAATTTTCCAGCGGGTGGACCACCTGGGGCGGACTGCTATTCTTATCATCCCGCTCTTTCTTCTTTCCGGACACGCTGATAGCACAAAGTATTAATGCAGACGGCGAATGCGCCCACCACACCCATTTTCACCCCTTCAGATCCGCATGCGCATTCATATCCATGTCCGGCGCCTAAGACATTAATCCGTCCATTCATTCATATTCCAACTTCACAAACAGGGTGTAATACCCTGTCGAATGTCAGAACGCCTTACAGAGTAACCAACCGGCTGGTTGGTGCAGCTAAAAAAGATGGAAACTTCGATCTGCGCGGTTGCCCGCCGTTTCAGCCAGTGAGGAAAGACCCTTAGGGGCTCGCTGGGCCGGTGGCCCCACGGGCCGCGTGTCCTTCCCTCCCCCTTCTCCATCCAACCATCCATTCTCCTATTCTTGACTCTCGCTCTCCCTCTTCCCCCGTAGTCACGGTGTATCGGGTATAGTATCAGCTCATACCCTGATTCAGTCCAGTGGTGTCCGCGGAAGTGAAACTAGGCTCGTCATGGCCACCAACGTGCGGACCATTCAGATTGGTAGTGGAAGACTGACCACAACAAGGTACCTTCGCTCTTCAGCACTAGGCCGATAGACTAACAGCCCACTACTCTACTGCTGGCCTGGGCTTGCCTTAACACATCCACCGGTCGGCAGGGTTTACCTCGACGCATCTACTTAGTGTCGGATAAAACCCTCAGATCCGGACAGCGGAGTCTTCCGTGATCCTGTTGGTCTTGTTTTCAGCTGCCTTTTCATTGCCACGTACTGGGGATTTACAGACGAATCCCATCCAATTCTTAGGACCAACATCCTCTGATTTTTGTTCTATGTATAGTGCCACCACCAACTGAATAACCGCTCCACGAGTTTTGGAAAGTGGCAAAGTGTGGCCGTGTGGTTGAGCCTCATGAGTGGACATGGGCTGAGCGGATTGCCTCCAGACTCTCGGCCTGTACCTGGTGGTTCCCTCTGGTTGAAAGTGGTTCTGTTACTGCCCGTCAGCTGGTCCAACCACCCACGTTTCAGTGGAAATTTTGCAATCCCATAAGTTACGTCCGCCTTGAACAGCCCGTCCGGACGCGCGTACGTCGTACCTGATACTTTCTCCCCTCGTCACTCGGCAGCTTGTTATTGATGGATTGTTCAAGCTGCGTATCCGCGGAGGGGTAAACCCCAGTCAAACTGCAAGTGGGCGCAGAAAAGTAAAATGTTTGCGACATCATCCGACCCAATCGCAGGCATCCATCAGCAATCGTGTCGCCGCCCGGATTGACCGGGCTGGCGCCATCGTGAACACCTGAGTAGTCAGTCTACTCCGTAGATACAATTTATTTCACACAAACGTTTCTTCCTACCGTGCGCACGGCAGGGAAAGGAAGGAGAGAGGGATCGACATTGTGGTCGTTTCGCAAGCATGACCAACTTCGCTAAAAAACATTGCCGGACATTTAAGCTTGAACGCCAGCCTTGGCAGCTGTCACCTACACACCCATTTGATGGACCCTGACACTCTGTCAACAATCTCTGTGCATGAGATGCATGATACATCCAGCTGTCCTGTGGCATTGAGTTCAGCTCTCCCCAGGATTTCCAACTGGTTTACTGCAAACCATTCGTCAGTCTTTCACTGCCCAGCCCAAATCGTAATTGCATCCCAGATGGGCGGTCTAAACTCCAATGCAAGCACTTCCCTCCCCCTGATCATCATCCAGCCATCGCCATTCGGTCCAGTGTTGTTCACCCAGAGCCGAGATGCCAAGCACACCATTATGGGCCTCCGTCGCTGTTTAGGGAAGGATGTGCACCCGTTCAGGTTCGACTGCCGTCCTTCTCTTACCGCAAAAGGACGATAGCACTCCGTAGTTATGGATCCAATGTCCAAAGGGAAACGAACAATGACATCAATTGGAAGAGAGGAGGGTCCTCCGTTCAGGGTCCATGTCGCTCTTTTCCGACGCCCGGTTCTTCCCAAGCCACCTGAATGAGGTAGAGTACGGAACGGCATCCAGCAAGTTCCTTAGATGGAGTCACGCTATGCCTTCTGCGTATCCAAGAACCCTGCGCAAAAAAAACATTAGCCCGTCATGGAACAGACCGACTCAATTCGAAAAAAACCACCTGCATAGTTTGCCAGCGTTTTCACACTACTCATACGGACACCCGGTTAGTCGATAATAGTTTTTACTGCAAGTCCACCACCAACGGTCACCCGTTATCCTGATAGGCCAATTGCCGCGAGCATGCAATCGGCCACTAAAGTAGTAATCAAAGCCCGAAAGCGAGAAAAAATAAAAGCTTGGAAAGGAGGAAGAAGACCACTCTGGCCAGAACCGTGGTATAGTTATCATGGCAGATAGTAAGTAATGATGCCATATTCCGCCATAATGAGTATACATTATAATATTCATGAATAAATTAAGATACACGCGTCTCAACATTCGACATCATCCTCTTCAAACCAGATGGACAGACCCTTTCAACGCCTCTGCATTAGCATCGTATCACAACAAAGAAAGAAAGAGAAAAAAAAAAGAAATTGATCCTCGACTATCACCCAACTTGCCAATTTAACCTGCAGATAAGGGCTATCTAGAAGGAGTAGGAACCCGGAAATTAAGCGATATTAAAGTGAACACCGATTAGCCTACTTTGTACCTAGTCCGTTAATCTACCCGTGGACTATAGGATCTTAGCCCGCCGATAGAGCGTTTCAGATTCAAGATTTCGAGAAATGAATTGTGGGTAAAAAGAAATATTATTATTATGTTGTCTCAAAACGGGTTGATAGATAGATAGTGGGCAAGTAAGGTAAATGTCTCAGAATAATTTGTTAGTTTGGTTATTTGCGGTGTAGATCTGGATTAATTGGCTTGTGGTCTGTTACTGTTATATTATAAGCTTTGGGGAGGGGGGAATTGATAGTAGTTAGTTAATTATGTGATCTGAAACAGAGAGTGTATATTTGATCTACTGGTTTTGTGAGATGTAGATTGGGTTTCATTGTACTCTGTTGTATGATTTGTGATCAGTATGATTATGTATATTTTAATGTAGATCTGTCGGAGCAGATCAGATGATGTTTGTGTTTGATGTAGATGTCAGTTGGTGATATATTACCCGACATGGTAGGTAGATGTTCGAATCGGGCTGTCATTTATTTAAATGTGGTAATCGAACCTGAGATGATAGTGTTGATGTAGTTATTAAGTACTCGGAGGGTATATAATCTAGGGACTATACATATTTTCGTATGCTCTACACCTGGCTTCATAGTAAACCAGGAAATAGACATACGTAGTCGTTCACAAGTACCGAATGATGCAATTTAGCTCCTAAAGTTCACAATGTAGACTTACTCAAACACGTTATCCATTGTGGAGGCACTGATTCAAGGATGAGGGGTCAGTACTAATAGAGTATAGTGCTAGTAGTGTATACTTGACTCCTACATTTTGGGACACTTGCTCATACCGTTGCATATATATCGCTAGTAAGTTCGTTGAGAAACACAGAAGCTGCAATGAGAAAGATAGAGAGAGGAGAGAGAGAGTGTGTGCAATATAAATGCCATATGTATACTTATAGTGGTATCATGAAACATGTTCTCAGGGACTTCCAGGGGGGTCTCTTTGAAGCAGTACTGATGACAGTACCATCACTGACAGGGGCTTGCTGACATAGTCAGACAGACCTCATGATTGTACAACGGTAATGATGAACTGGTATTTCAGGTTCTCTTCAGGAAAGGCTAATCCTCCCCCTTCCATGCCGGCTGATAACATATTAACAGTCCTGCTAAATACAAAATAGCTATTTTACATGCATGACACATAGTAGTATACGTATGAAGAGACGATGCGATTGTGTCAAGTTCAAGTTAACACTATAAAAGCATACCCTGTGCCTAAGGTTATTGCAGACCGATCCAATGCGGTCACACCTCATTTCTCAATCTTGACATCAGTCTGTGTGACCGTACCACCTGCAGAGGTACCTGCTTGATCCTTGTCCGGCGAAGCTCGTAGCCCATTCGGAGTATCTATCGGACAATGGGATTCGAATTGTGACGACAGTATATCCATGGATGAGCCATGGACCAAACCAACATTGTTCAATTCCACATCATGCTTGATCTCATAGACGCGGCCGAAGTGAATGCGGGCGGCGCTGGGCAATACTGTTGATAGCTGCTCAAGTTTCAGGCGTATAGGCTGGATATCCATCCTTGTTTCCCCTGGCAAGAGGCCAGGAATGTGCTTCGATGAGTGGAGGATAGCATATAGCTCCTGATCAGGTTGATCGGAAAACCCTCTTCCTGAGTAACTGTGTCGATTATTATCAACAACACGATATAATGCATTTGGAGGCTACTCAGACGCGGGGATCTCACGTATGTATTCCCAGACAAAGGCAGGATTTAGTACCCTGCTGGGCAACCACGAATCGGCGGATGGTGATGACTCCTACCCAGGGGTCCATTTTCCAGGTGGGAAGCTTATATTCGTTGGAAATCATTTCTTCGATTTCTGACTCGGACAGAATAGGGCGATCAGTGCTCATCTCATCTAGATATATATAACCTTTCTTTTCCTCAAGTATCGATACATCATGCAGCTTTCTAAACGTCTCATGATGATATATCCTGAAGTGTCTGTCAAGCCAGAAGTTCTTTGGAAATCGAATGTCACCAGTGCACAAATGACATTGAACTTGTCCATTCTCTTGAACGTCGCCATATTGAAGCATTGCTGGCAAGGGAAGCTCTATAATAACCTCGTAATTCTTCATCTGTCGAGTAAGTCGTTCTTTCTCGCGCTCACACGGGTCTAGTATAGAGTCCAATAGAAGCCATTCCAGAGGGAGATGTGTGCAATTAATGTCTTCATCTCCTGTGGCTGTCGATATACCTCGTATAACCACGGTAAACACCCGCCCATGTCGGAAGAAGTCATTAGGATGGGTGACCTTTTCAAAATCTAAGAAGTCCATTAGCTAGTACACATTGCAGATTGTACCAGTACTTACTAGGTCTTGCACAACATGTATCCCTTCCCGTGATCATTGCGCTGAGTCTGACATCCGGGAATTCAGACTTCTCATCGATCCATCTTGGAGTGACACTCGCACTTTTCCAAGCATCATCATCAGAACTAGAGGAATATCAGCACCTCTCCCCTCGGGTATAGACACAACATACTTGGAGTAGCAAGCCATCCGTAAGAGGCTACCCAAAGACAACAGATTAGAATGAAGGATACTAGATAATTTCTGAGCCGATATTATAATGTTTATTTTTAGTGAACTTCAACAGCATATGTCGATAAATTGAAGAACTAACCTCATCCGTCATCCTTGAAGATGATTTACCCGTTGAGTAGATATACTTGAATACCAATCTAGACCCCCCAGCTTGATATGCACGAATACCTCCTAATCTGTTTACGAACCCATTGATGGCCTCACCCATCCTGGTCGCCAAGAAACGAATGGCATTCAAGGTTGATTGAGTCAAATGATTCGCCGCCCTGAGTTGTTCCACTTGAAGTAGGGCTTTATGGACAGTGAGAAGCCGTGAAGACAAAGTCCGGTACTCTCTAGAGAAGCCATGTACTTTGGACAGCTCCTGATAAAGCTTATAAGCAAGACTTGCACACGCCAGTATATCACCGACACCAGTACCAAGCGACATGATGATCTTTGAGTACTTGGTGTCCAAGCAGCCGGGAAGCTTATGATATGCTGTCCTGGTCACTAAGAAATCCTCCACTAAGTTCATGCGCAATCGCGACTGTTTTTCAAAGAGAAATGCTATGTTTATTTAATGCGTCAATGTCAATGGGCTGGCTATTTGGATTGACACGGAGAGGAGGAAATAGAGTAATGGAAGTAATCATACTGCCGGTGATGTAGTGGGAAAGGTATAATTGGGAGATACTGGCTGACAGACACCGATGCCGCAAGGCTGAGGATGTAGCCTAATCTAGCCATCTATGGCGTGTCATACGTCTACTAGCTGTCATTCTAATAGGTTGGATATGAACGACCTCATCTCTGGTAGGACAATAACAAATCCACTCGTATATGTTTTATCTTTATTCACATGTAACTCATAGGAGATCTGTGACCCTTTCATGTTCCTGATACTTCTATGCATGACATACGGATGACCGGAGAAAGCGAAATGCGAAAAAGACCGTCTCAGTGACAGCAGGTAATTTGAAACTGAAGCGGGAAGAAACAATTAGAGTGCTGAGCTCCCGGGCCGGTCTGCGTTGGATTGGCTCGGAGAGTATGAAGGGTAGTGGGCTGTACGACAGAGGTTGAAACCCAACGGTCCGCTTGTGTAAACAAGGGCTGTATGGATGCAAATGTAGGAAGTTACACACGGCAAGGTGTTGCAGAAAGCGGAGTGCATGATCACATGGACAGGAAAGGGATACAGCAATCTTTCAAGGTTACTATAAGGGAATACACATGACACGGTAGTGGCCTTGGTAATAAATTATTTGTGAATGGTCTTATCTAAATCATTACTACAGCATATTTACATGCGGGTTGCTCTGCAACCCACATCATTCCTCATAGGCACCCTCTCGGTCCTCGAACTTCATGAACTCGTGCTGAGCAGCCTCCTCCCCCATGATCAGCTCCCATGCTTTCTTGACCGTGTCGATCAAGGAGTCATCAAAAGTAAGGTCTAGGCTGACAGGTGGGAGGCATATGACGCTCTTGGACGGACAGCTTAGATCAGCGTTGTGGGAGGCGCCTCGGCCCAGCTGCGTATAACGCAGGGACCACAGGACTTTCGTGTTCGGATCGGCAGCCGACTGGAGAAGCTTTTGCACAGCAGCTTCAATCATTGACTGTCCTTCTGAACCGGGTATGCTGACACTACTATACACAACGCCTGATAAACAGTTAGCAACATGTCACAAGACAATGTAACTTGCATAAATTGAAAAAAGTCAAAGCTCATGATCAGTTCGTAGAAGTTTGCATCAATAATGTATCAGGCAATGTAGATAAGTTTTTGAAGAAAAGTCATCATATGAGCCAGGAGGGGGGGGGGGGAGATGAAGAAGAAAAAGTGGTAGCTTACATTGTCCAATAGGGCACTCGCCCGTCTCGCTGGAGTGAACTATAGTGTACACCGGTGGTGCATCATCAGCACCGCCAACAGAGCTTCCCGGGAATACCACCACCGCTCCAACAGGGATTGGTCCACCCTCTGCAGTAACGGGGAAAAGGTTCGCAAGGGAAGATGAGACGATGGAGATGGATCGAGCCACTTTGTCGCACTCCAGAGAAGGGCGAGATGCGGCAGGAAGATCCCAATTCGAGCCAACAATGTACCGGGACTTGACCGATTCATCATTGGCCAATTGAATCTGTATGCGCGACTGGTCATCGGGGTCCTGCTCTGGTGAAGGTCCGATAGACTTGACGCCAGTATTCAGGACATACACACCACCTCCCACGGCAAGAGCGCGACAACCGACCTGAGAGATCTCAGAGCCACCGCCCCATTTGACCGAGAGAGCCCCAAAGCCGGGACCAAACACACCAATAGATGACAAGTGTCTCTTGATGCGTGGGAGGGCATATTGGGCCGATGTCTGGTGAGGAGCAGCCTGTGATAGGCAAAGCGAGAGTAGGGGACCGTGAAGCTCAGAGGGCACCTGAAACTTCGTGGCTAGATACTCAGAGAAGGGTGCAGCAAGACCCTCCTCTTCTGAGGACAGATCCGGTCCTTCCGACACATCTCCACTCCCCTGAGCCTGACCAAGATGACGGAGAAACCTCATTAGAGTTCTCTTCGACTTCATACTGATCACATCGTCCGCAAAGACATCCTCTCGACTGCCAGGGACACGATAGAGACGACTACTATCATCAGCCTCGGGTTTGTAGATCCACCAGCTTCCCACAGCTTGAAACTCCAATTGCCGGTAGACCTTGGAGGAAACCAAGGTAGGCAAAAGTTGTGATCGGGAGTAGATCAATTGCGGCGACAAGGAGAGGGTATATGCTCGAGAGGACGCAAGCTGACCCGTGGAATCCCCGGAGCATTCGGAGCAGACGCTAGCATGTTCGAATGGGAGCTCCCCGGTGTCTAGCTCACCCACACGAGTCAGCAGGGGCCATGGGGTCGCTTAGACTGGGGAGCTCCTACCCTCGTTCACTTTAGCAGCCCACTCCTCGGCTTCCTGAAGGCTAAAAGCTGCCTCAGGACCACCGTAGTATGGATTTCTGTCAACATGGAGAACGTTCTTACCTGACCTGGAAAGGGCCCTGGCAAGAGACGTTAGCTGTAAGCAAATACAGCATTGACTGAAGGTAGCTCACAGAGCTAGAAGTGACTGGGCCAGTCCAGTGCCAGAGATCGTCACGTCCCATGGTGTGTCTGCGAGGGATTCCATAGTGATGACGGCCGAACTGCAAGCAAGCTAAATGGAGGGGCTTAGTGCTATATCGATGTCTGATAAGCAAGCTCAGCGAGCATCACATTTGGTCACAAGCTCCTAGAGACGTTTGTAGCAAGTATCTTCAGCCCATAGGTGAGGACTGAAGATCATGCGCTGAAGACGAGAAAGAATTTCAGAAACGAAAAGAAAATGGAGGGACACGCGAAGAAATACGGGACCCGCACTGGCCCACCACGTGACTAAGTACTTAGCTAAACCGTTATCGAAGACCTAAGGTGAGGAAGCAACAGACATTGAACACTTACATGCTAAATAAACGTAGACCTAATCGCCATTTGCTCTCCATGTCATAACTTCCTTTTTCATGCAGCACCAGGGAGTTACCAGTGTTGATGGAGCCCTGGTCTCCACTAATAGTATCAACCCAGTTGGCTTCAGTATGAGCGTTGAGCCTCCTTTTCTCAGACAGAACACACGAGAGTGAACTCAGTAGCTAAACAGTCTATACAGCTTTTTTGGCCCGGTATTAACCTCACATCCATGCAATTGCAGCTCTTTAAAGCTATATTTACCGTTCGTTGCAACTGTTGCCTGAGGCTACAATAAATATGACTATTCCGAAAGAAGCTAGACTCGACAAATGGGAGCCGCTTAAGGAGGATTTCGCCCACAACCAGAGCTTCTTTCCTTCTTCACACCACTCCTAGTGCTCTGCACAGGCAGACTGCTTGTTCGTAGCAGTTTCGTCGTCTCCGTACAAGCCTTCACTGGTCTTGTGCTATAGGAGTGGTAGATAGACATTTCACTCTGTATCTGCTGCTCCGGATGGTAACATCTGATGGAAGCGGTTCGTTTTGTAGTGAAACATTCCTATTCTAATCTGTAATCTGTTTCTATATGAAGCTGCCGTTGCGCTGCAGACGTCAACTGGAGGCGACTAGTGTTTCGACGGACGTGGCTCTGCTATGTAATGAACGCGCAGCTGCTCGTACTCTGCATTGCTCTCGGAAGAGTGCAGTGCTGAGTTACGGTCCCAACGTCTGCCATCGATGCCAACAGCCCGTATCATATCTGAAGACCGCTGTTGCTAGGATGCTGTATAGCTTTTGCGGATGAATGCCCATAACCATCTGCTATAAGACCCCCTCACTCATCTCCTGTCTCCTCCACGATTCTGGCACGGAGAATCTTCACCTCATCCATAGGCCGGTCTTCCGAGTTTGTCTTGACCAGTCCCATGCGCTGGATCACCCTCATGCCGCTCTTGACGCGGCCGAAAATAGTGTGCTTTCCATCCAACCACGGCGTCGGTGCCAGCGTAATGAAAAACTGACTGCCGTTGGTATTGGGCCCGCTGTTTGCCATGCTCAGGATCCCAGCGCCGGTATGCTTGAGATTAGGATTAATCTCATCCTCGAATTTCTCGCCGTAGATTGAGCTTCCTCCTCTGCCAGTGCCGGTAGGATCGCCGGTTTGTACCATGAAGTTGGGGATAATGCGGTGGAAGATGACATTGTTATAGTAGCCTCGTTGCGCAAGCGTCGCAAAGTTCTTACACGTCTAGTCGGTAACAATGGTGTCAGTAAAATGTTCCATAAAGAGGATGGGGTGAGCTTATAATCTGGGTACTGACCTTGGGCGCATGCGCATTGTAGAGCTCTACTGTGAACGAGCCCTGGGCAGGTTAGCGGGGTATGCTGACGCAGTTGTTCTGGTTAGCCATACCATGCTCGTGTCAAAAGCCACATCAGTCGCCATCGTGAATATACAAACAGGTGTCAGGTTGTTTACTGGTACTTGTCGAAAATCCGCAGTGAAGAGTTGCGGTTGAGCTTTCTGGCGCGGCGGAGGCCGAGATCCAGTCTTGGCATCCGATGTTCCCATGGGCAGTTCGAACTGCTCCAGTTGCCCAGTCCCTCACACCGGCATTGTAAAAGTAGATCTTGTACTGTTCGCCTGAAGAATTGCAGCATTTTTAAATAGACAAGTCTGCCTTTGTATATTAGCATAGTTCCCAGGTTCACTCTACGCAGGACTAGAGTCAGATCATGATTGACATCATGGTATCATTGCATGTAGTATTAGTCGCTTTCTAAACAATCAACACTGCTCAAGGATGTGCTTCAATTGCTCCCATCTCTGCGCGGAAATGTCAACCAGCGCCTTGAGCTCCTTCCCATCCACAGCCCATCCTCCATTCTTCTCCATATTCTGGATAACCGTCTTGCCCTTCCCACCTTGCTCCTTATCAACCACAATGCAGACTCGTTCTTGACTCAGTCCCTCCTCATATCCATCAGGATCGGCCAGAATCCACCTCCGTTGAATGCCCTTCCGAGCGTTCTCCTCAATGTTCTTTTCCTCCTCGGCATCCGGGATAATAACCGCCCTCCAGCCAGCAGCCGCATCAGCCTCGAAAACACAGAACGAGCTTGCGACAGGCAGACCGCGCAAAGACAGCTTGTGAGAATCAGAAACCGCATCCGAGCACACAACCATCTCATTGTCAACATCCCACCATGCCCGGGGTAGCTTCGTATCGCGCAGTGCAGCCAAAACCGAAGCCCAGGCAGCATCGAAAGGGTTTCCTGCCAAGGAAATGATCATGATATCAATATAGAGCACCCAGAACGCCTTGATCTCCTTTTCCTTGCCGACCTCCTCCCCGCGCTCTACATCCACATCCATCTGCTCAGACTCATTATGGCGTTCCAGGTCCTCCGGCCCCAGACTAGGCGGCTGGTACCAAATGCGCAAATCCTCGGCGCGGACCAACTTTGTACTATGCAGCAAGTTCAAAATCTTATGGGACAGCGACTGTGCGAGTGCTGACGGGGGTGCGCCAGGGACAAAGCCCGGTGCGCAGCCGGTGCTCAGCGACAGATTCGGGACGAGAAGGTTGAGTTGTTGAATGTGCGATTCGTCTTCAGGATCTTCCACTTCCGCATCATCCTCAGTAGGCTTCTTAGTTTGATCGGCGAGTTTGCGACGCTTATTCGCAGATGACGAGGATTGAGACACGCTCCACGAGGCAATGTCGGCAGTGGGGAGGATTTCCGCTCGTACGCCGCATACTGCGGTTGTGTCGCCAACCCTTATGACGGCGCTGCCATTTGTGTGGGTTAGGGAGCCTGTGTTCGCAGATGTGACGCGGAATTGCGAGGGAGCGCGGCCATTGGCTCGGATGGAGGGCTGGTTGCTGGATGCGGGTGGTGAAAGGTGGGCGAGGAGATAGGCGTGAGGTTGGAGTCGGGCGAATTGCGAGGGGGGTAGGGTGAGAGAGGGGGGTGCGGATGGCGTTGTGGAGGCCATCTTGAGCTATTTCTGAAGCCGAAGTAGTCTGCTCAGGACCGACAGGGTGTGAAAATGGTCAATGAAGAGGTAAATGGGTCTATGAAACTCGGTCTGTATGAGGAGGAAATGGTTGACGGACTTTCCATTTTTCTGCGGCAGAATTCTGAACATCTATCGGGCGGTGAGGAATGTTGACCTCCACCTACTGCACATCACTTCTACAAAGATGTCTGATGAACTTGACAAAAAATAAATACCTCGCAAGATAACATGATATTGAACTGAACATTAGCTACTATATTAATCTGGAGTGCCATGGAGACCCTTACATTCCACATCTTTGCTGTAATAGAAAATATCTCGAACAGTGGACGCTAGTATATAGTATAAGAAGCTTCAGTGCAATAAGTCACAGAGTATCATCCCTGCCTACTAAAAGTTTAGTTGAAGGACCATTGGAAACACTGATACTATGACAAGAATGAAGCGATTCGGCTGATAGCCAGGCAATATATGTATTTCCAGAACTAGTACGCTAAATGTATATTCAAGGGAGAATGTCAGCTTCATCCCCAATGCACATCAAGCATCATGACCGCAGGCGCATACAGTCCTTACTATGTGTTATTTGCTAAACGGCTAGTACATGAGGATATATGATTCCTCAGGCTATACAGACTCCTTGCTTATTATCTACTCACGAACTATCGTATTTTATTTACGTCGAACCAGAACCCCATGACAACAATGGTAGTCCGGTCATATTTGGTAGCATTGCGTTACTACCTTGAAGGGATGGAGAATGTTGTTGTGACCAAGCTTACGTTAATGTTACTAAAGCGTAAAGTGAATGTCCTACACGTGTTGAATGCATCCCCACAGCACTCAGTGTGCGATCAATCTGATATGATCTAAGAGGCCAATAAGAACCGCTAGCTTGGGGAGATATCAAAGTATCGCGAAAATCCACTTTGCAGAGTCGACCAATGATGACGTGACGGGGGAGACGCGTCTGGGGGTTCTGGTTAATGCGTTATCTTGGATTATTCTAGAAGGAGGGTCGTATTCATTGCGAGGGGCTGAGGTTACGGGGTGTGTTATAGAATGAGATAGTGGGTCACGGCTGCGACAGAGAGATTGTGATAGGAATATGATTATCCTGGTGTATATGAGTATATATCCAAACTTGAGTGGAAAGAACCAAACTATATATGGTATAGACAGGGTGTTCTATGGTAATAACATTTGACAATGATAAGGGTATCAGTGATGGGGCAAAGAGCAAACAACCGAACGCCAAGATGTAGATAAATCAGGCAGAAAACGATAAGCAGTGCTTCTATAGTTCTTAGCAGAACATGAAATGTCATGGCCGCTGGGGCTCATCATCTGCCTTACGCTTCCTGCTCACCCCCTCGTCAACTTCCAGAATCTTAGAATCCGCATCGGCGAATGGTTGTATTCCATGGTCTTCCTCGTCATCACCGTCTTCAGCTTCAACTTTCTCCCAATCGTCGTCATCATCCCCTCCAGGCGCTTTGCGCTGGTCTTGACCCTTGTTGCTGGGAAGGGCTTCCTCTTTAGGCGCATCAGTCCATTGGAGAACAAGCTTGACTATTTTTGCCCCAGAAGGTTTTAGACGCCGGTAGTAATTTTCCACTATGCCATCTTCCACCTTGAACCCTCGTGCGACGTACCACTTCAGACCATCTTCGTTGGCCTCGTGGACATGGGCTGTGACGGTGCGAATGTTGTAATGTTTCACCAGGTCTGAGACTGGTTGATCAGGTCGTGGATCGGATGAAGTAGAAGATGACAAGGAACTGGATGAGTAGAGCAGTGAGTCTAAAAGCGATGCTGCAATCCCACAGCCTCGATAGGGCGACAGTAGATGAAGGGTTTGAATGTAGAGATTCGTCGGCTCGGAGTTCGACCGGCCTTGCAAGATTCCGGCAGCAGTCGGCGGTAACCGCTCCAATCGGCACCTGATGCCTCCAATAACTTTGTCTGATCCAGTTGTGGGGGTCTTCAAGCCCGTTGAAGGGGTTGGCGCTGCAGAGGTGGGAGCAGCGGCTACCGGATGATCATGATAGACGGCCACGCGGGACAGCGACGAGATCACGGGGTCAGTAATGGTGGCTGTGTAGAAAGAGCTCGGATAGCGAATAGGAAGCAGCAAGCCCGTGATTCTGGTCAGCGAAGGGATGTGAGCTGTGCTCACAACTTCGACGGTAACATGCGGGTGCGGAGTGGGGTGGCCTGATGCGATGGGCTTTGGGTATGGCACAGCCTGAAGGGTTGAGTCCCGGCCTGCTGGAGGCTGGAATTTGGACGCCAGACTCACGGAAGATGAGCCAGAAGAGGGAGGAACGACGATAGCTGGTGGACCTTTAGGTGGCCTGGTGTGAGAGTTGTTTGAAGACGGTGAAGTTATCGTACTTGGAGCCTGAGGGGAAGACAAAGGTGGAGAAGTGGGCGCTTTGGATTGATGCGCCCTGGCGAAGAACTGGAAAGCCATGGTTGGAAGAAGGGTAGATGCGATGTGTAAGCCACACTATACAAGGTGTATCTTCCCCTGAAGCAGTCTCTGAGGTATACAAAAGAAAGAACACCCAGAAACACGTCGAGGAGAGAGCGGGGAGAAGCAGAGCGCCAGACGAAGAGGGGAACCCAACGCGATCCAAAAGCGGTGGACGAAAACGGCGAGAGAAACGCGGAGATGCGATAAGATAAGATCGGGCGGTCGGACAAGTTCAAAGAGGCAAAGGCCAGCGCAAAAGAGCCTCTGTCCACGTCCTCCGATCTAGGATTGCCCCTGGTGCTGCACCTTCACTTGCCGTCTTGGTCTTGTTCTTTGGCTGCGTCACACAGTCTACTGTGCTCTTTCTATATATGTTGCTCTATCGGGTGTGAAGCCAAGGTGAGTTGCTCCCCCTCATGGTAATGGCCGTGCGCGCAGTCCGCTGATTCTCCCTACCGTGGGTGTTTCCCGCCCCCGGGTTATAGACGCCATTCACTCCCCGCCAGACAGATGGACTCTACGTGCTATCGTCCCTGTGTACCATTTCTTTGAGACATTCTTTATAGTGGGAGTCGGGCACTTGCTTTATTGCTCCCTTGTTTGGACCAACACAGTCGGGTAGTCGTCTATTACGCCATTGTTCCCTCCATCCGCATCCGTTAAGCGGCCGGTAAACCCCGACCCAGATTTGCCTTCGAACACCCTGCGCAAACCTACATGGCGCCATCGGGTTGATACTGGGGATAATCGTTCAGAGTTGTGTGGAAGCAGCTGTTTGTCAACTGCAAGTTCCGCTTTAATTGGCGCGTGATTACTTTGCATACACCAGCAGAGGTATGTCTCGACAGTTGTCCTGGACTTTGCAGTATTCGCGCGACCATTGCGTTATCTCATCGGTACTGCTTGCTGTCGAGTGCATTATCATGTTGTATGCGATGTGCTGGGCTACCCCACTCATCTGCATTTCTTGCTTGCTTGTTTCCTAAACGCTCAGTCTTGGAAGATGCTTCAGCTCTAACACTTTCCAGTCCTGCAGAACATTGCCAAAATGGGCGAGTCGAATGGAGCTGAAGAGAATGGAAGTTCCTTTCCTTCAGGAACGCTTGCAAAATTGGTACGTTCATGCCCGTATGCTTCCGGCTGCGGCACAGTAGCGTCTCTGGGCTTTTGCAATGGATCCTGACAACACTAGACATGCGATATCCTCAACGATACCTTCTATAATATAATTCATGATATAGTTGCGAAGGTGCATCGCGACGAAAAGGTCTCCCGTATGCGCTCAGCGGTGGTCACTGCAAGGCAAAAAGCCGATGAAGAGGCATCCAAACGTCGTGAAGAGAGTGGGAAGCCAGCTGGTGCATTCAAGCCCGGTGATCTCGACCTTGAGGAACTTAAGGATATACATGTGGAGACAGATGCGGCTGTCTTTGATGAAGGCAAGGTTTACCTCAAGGGAAACCCTCTGCAAACCACGAAAGAGATTATCTGTCCGGAGTGCCGATTGCCTCGTCTATTATACCCAGTAACGGGTGTCGGGGCTCGGGCTCCCCCAGATCCATATCGGGAGTATTGTCAGAAGCAGCCTATGATCAACAAGCCGGGGCACGATGTTCATGGAAACCCGTTTGCCACGGACAAGCTGAATCCGAAGAAGAAGAAACAGACAAATACGTCCAATACTCCAGCTTCAAGCCCTCCTACAACGCCTGACAGTTCCTTCAAACAAGCAGCCCCAGAAAAGGTGTCCTTCCCGACTGTGAAATGCCCGAACTGCCCGAGATACTTTGTTGTCACTCGAGTTGCACAGCACCTAGACCGGTGCTTAGGTTTATCAGGGCGACAGACCAACCGCAACAAGACCCCAATGGAAAATGGTGCCAGTACACCCAGTTCTGCTCCACCTAAGCGTCCACTAGTGGATGATGACGTTCCAGCAACTCTTCCGACGAAGAAGAAGAAGTTAGGAGCCCCCAAAAAATTGTCAGGGAAGAAGCCACCTCCGCCTAGCAAGTTGAAAAACGGGCTTACGCCAGACATGGCCGCAGCAAGTGATGCCGCCGGCTCTGGTGACGGGGACATCAAGAGTGAAGCGAACGGGGATAACTCTTGAGCCTTCGGTGTTTCTTTCTTTCTTTGTTTTCTCTTCTTTTCTTTCCACACCTTATACCTTTCTACACATCCCTTTCAACATTATTTTTACCTTGCTTCTTGCAGACTGCGGACCTGTTTGCGTTGGACAAGGCCTTGGACATATCTCCGTTTGCTTAACGATATTGACGTAAATACCCGGCATCAACGGCGTCGACGGGAACCTCCTACCTTAGTATCCTCGAGTCGAATAGGGACATGCTCGGCATCGTCTCTAGCCTTTCTCTTCCGTTTCTTTTTATAGGTGTTGTGTGCTGTTCTCTTGAATGATAGATTTTTATGCGGTTGTATGTACAATATTCTGGCAATAGGTTAGTTCGGGTTTCACAATCAATCGATTGGTTTAAGATTGGGTATACAGATTAAATCGAATTAAGAAGCCTCTTATGTAAACTGAGCAGTTAAGCTCGAACGCCAACCATATTCTTAATTGTTGGAGGTCCACTATACATACTGTTGGTTCAGTGGAACAATAGGTGCAATGGATTTAATCAAGGTACTGGGACACCCTTTTAGAGAGGAGTTCTATAAAGTGCCCTTGTAACGTTTGTTCGATATCTACCCCGGTGATCCCCGTGGTATAATAGTCTTAGTTCGAACCTATCACTAATTCGTGTACATGAAAAGTGGCTTCCAGACAAGAGTACAAAGTGTAACCTCGTAGACTTCATGGCGTGTTGGACGACTGCTATTCTGGGCAGGGCTGCTCTATAGAGATGTTTGGAAATTGTTTTGCTTTACATTGGAACTCTATGCATAATGGCATAAATACTATATGAGCATGACTTATGATGCGACACGCCAAATTGAGTTGTGATATCTCGAAAGCTCGTGGTTTTAGGCTAGTATACAATGTTGTTGGCCTGAAAAGTATGGCCTCGTAGCCCACTTCGGGATCTTCCGTCCGTCATCGTCTGGCCCGCTTGCTCGATCCATCATCCACATTTCATGAGGCGCATTCCACCATGAGCATCAATCAAGTCAGTCGCTAACAATTTCTCTAACCTCTGACTATCCAGCGACATGAGCAACACCAGCCTCATCTCCTGGGCCGTCCCCAGGCTGAGCCGAATTCTCCCGCTGGACGAGGAGTCGCTCACGCAGATCATCACCTACGCCGCCAGCCTCTCCAAAGACGAAGGCGCTGAACACCTCAAAAACCTTCTGGGCGACTCTCCCGCCGCATTCGAATTCATTTCTGCATTCAGCTCGCGACGAGAACCACCCCCACGATCTAACGCGCCGTCACCCGCTCCGAGCGGCCAGTCCACATCTAGGAACAATTATTCGGGAACGCAGTCGAAGAGGGGCAAGAAGTCAAAGCCACCGCTACACAGCGCCGGACCTGTTCGCCGACCAGACAATTTTGGAAATGTGACGGGTGGATACAGAAAGGAGCAGCAGGATGAGGACTACATGCCTGTCTCTAGCCGGAGCAGACAAGAAGGAAGCGCGAGAGAAGGCACACTGGACACCGGTCTATCACCATCACCGTTGATCTCTTCCCGCGAGGCATCCGCTACCTCTTCGCGAAATCAATCACCGGCCCCGAGACCGACACCGGCTAAAAACCCGCCTTCTGCCTCTGGCCCGGTGATCTCGGATCTCCTACCGAATGTCAAGTCGAAGGCGGCCAAGTCTGCCTCTCGAGGTGGTGGCAGCAGTACGGGGACCGGCTCATCGTCCAAGGGATCGCTGACTACGAATAATATTAATGATTTGACGGCTGCCATTGCCGCTTTGGAGGTGTCTACGAATCCGACGCTGAGTGGTGGCGCACGCAAATGCACATGCAACGCCAGCATCCATCCTCTTTTTGATCCCGCGCCGAATTGCCTTAACTGCGGGAAGATCATTTGCTCGCTGGAAGGGCTACAGCCGTGTTCATTTTGCAAAACACCTCTCCTGTCAAATGACGAGATTCAGAGCATGATACGGGAGCTGCGGGCAGAGCGCGGACAGGAGAAGATGCGCGCACACAATGAGAGTGTACATCGGGAGGGTGGCCCTGGAATGGGTTCGAGAGCTCCCAGTAAATTGGACGCCGCCAAGGCGCATCGGGACAAGTTGCTTGCGTTCCAGGCGCAGAACGCCAAGCGGACACGTGTGGTGGACGAGGCAGCAGATTTTGAGACTCCGAACGTAGCATCTACGCTGTGGATGACACCTGCGCAGCGAGCATTGGCCCTTAAGAAGCAGCAGCGGATCATGCGGGAAATGGAGGAAAAGGCACGGCCGGAATGGGAGAAGAAGAAGACCATCATGAGTCTGGATATCAAGGGAGGAAAGGTGAGGAGGGTATACCAATCAGCTGGGCCTGCGGAGACGGGCCCTTCCGCGGAGGAGGAAGCTGAAGCAAGGGCAGAGGAGGAGCTCGGAGATGGGGAGAACAGAGAAAGCAGCGGTAAGGCATTCAGCCATAATCCTCTTCTTGCAGCTGGAGGGTTGTTGCGACCGGTCTGGAAGTCGGCGGACGGAGAGCAAGCGGACACGGCACGCAAAGAGCGGAAACAGACATGGCGGAGAGTGCAGGACGATAATGATGACAACGAGCAGTGGATTCTCGATGGCGGTCTCCACGGTTACACATGAGAGGCATTTGACATAATAGCTTATCCGAACTGGCTGGTTACATTGTCTGCAAGCCGGACAACAGTAGCCGATGCTCTAATGCAAATACAGTGGGTAGCAACAGCCCGAGACTCTCCTAGCTTTGACCGATAAGGCCCGCGATATAAGCACGCAATGATTGGGCCACGAGCTCCAGGGAATACTACCGCTCTGACATGGATCGATAAGCAATGCTCCTTCGGCATCGCCGCGACAGAAGACAAGACACATAGCAGGAGTGGTTAGATATCCTCCGACGGTGTACACGACGCGGAATGACAGCAGCAATCTTAGCATGAGCATTACCAATCTAGATCCGAAGGATGGGTTCCACCAGATCGGCGGTCAAAGCTACTAATTCTCATATACAGTGTAGAGATATGAAGCACCCGGGGTACCCGGGCCAGGAAGTCCGACAACGAACTTCTCTACGTAGATACACAGACCAGCCGTTGCTGGCCACGATGACGCATCCTCGCAGCTATTGCGCTAAATCGATGAATATTACATAGTTCCATGGAAGACACTTCGTACTCGAAAATGAGGAGAGGGAGGGGATGGAGGGGCAGAAGACGCGAGGGAAAGCCCGTCAGTAACCGAGCCAGAGAGAGTTATAAAGCGGTAGACGAGTCTCGAGTGCCAGTGAGTGTCTTGTAAGTGAAACAGCCATCTGGATAGTGGTTCTGATATCTCGAGTGACTGTCGTCATTTGCCCGTCTTTGTTATCCGCTTGCGGGGATTTCCTTTTTGGTCGAACTCGGCCTCGGTTGGCCCCGGCTAGCTTCGGTGCTCGTTGACTGGCCGAACTATATACTTCAGCTTCTTATTATTATTCCACCTCTTAGCACCACACACTATTGCACTAGGATTCGACAGCCATGTTGGCCCAAATTGGCTGGCAGGCTATCTCCATAACCCGCATAGGGTGGGGGTTGCTTGCCTTGCTCGTGGGATTGGTATGTTGATACCGATTCTCCCTTACACCTTCTGTATTATGTCGATAAGGTGTCACCTTGCATACTTGCAATGCATACTGACAACATCAGTCTTCTGTCTATGCCATTCACAATCGTTTCTTCCACCCTCTCCGCCGCATCCCAGGTCCCTTGCTCGCCTCCCTCACTCCCTGGGTCCAGCTCTACCATGGCCTTCAAGGAGACCGGCACCTGTGGCTCTGCGCTCTTCACGAACAATATGGCTCTCATGTCCGCGTGGCACCTAACTTTGTCTCAGTAAATACTGCTCAAGGCCTCCATGACATCTACGGACACGGCAAGCGGCTCAAGAAGGCCGATTTTTACAATGCCTTCCCCGCTATCAAAGGCGTGTACAACACACACAACGTCATTGACAAGGTCATGCACGGCCGGAAAAGACGAGTCCTGAGCCAGGCCTTTTCGGATCATGCACTCAAGAGCATGGAAGACGTGATGCTGCTGCACGTGCGGCAACTGTGTGCAGGCTTAACGCGTGCCCAGCAGACAGGCGTGGTGCAGGACATGGGCCGCTGGTTCAGTTACCTCACATATGACGTGATGGGCGAGCTGTGCTTCGGAAAGAGCTTCGACATGTTGATCGAGAGTAGTCGGAGACGGCTGATCGAGCTCGTCGACCGGGCTGCAAACCGGCACTATGTGGTATGTCTCGAGCTGCTATTGTTGTTGAGAACCGAATTGACTGACCAAACAGTGCGGTCTCTGGATGCCCCTAGATCGATGGCACCTTGACCAACTCTTCATCCACCGACTCACCAATGACCGCTGGAACTTCATCATGAACTCGCGCGTGGAAGCAACCAAGCGCGCCCAGGAACGCACCAATGCCGGCCACGACGCCAAAAGAGACTTCTTCTACTACCTGCTGAACGCCCGGGATCCCGAGACGGGCCAGGGCCTGACGACCCCTGAGCTCTGGGGCGAGGCCAACGTGCTGATGATCGCGGGCAGTGACACGACGTCGACGACGCTAGCCGCGACGATCTTCTACCTGGTGCGCAACCCACATGCGATGGCGCAGCTGCAGAAAGAGGTCCGGGAGAGCTTCTCCTCGGTCGAAGAGATCGTAACGGGCAGCAAGCTGAACGAGCTGGTGTACTTGAAGGCGTGCCTGGACGAGGCGCTGCGGCTGGCGCCCGCGGTGCCCGGGGCGCCCCCGCGCGAAGTGATGGAGGGCGGAGCGGTGGTGGACGGGGTGTTCCTGCCGGGCGGGACGGATTGCGGGACGCCAACGTACTCGATCCACCGGCAGGCGGCTTATTACCGACAGCCCGGGGTGTATTTGCCGGAGCGATGGATCGAAGGGGCGATCTGTCAGACGGGGATGGAGGCGTGGCAGACAACGCGGGAGGATGTGGAGATGGCGCGGCGGGCATTCTGTCCCTTTAGCATTGGGCCGCGGGGATGTATTGGGAAGAGCATGGCGTTGATGGAGATGCGATTGACGATTGCGCGGTTGATGTTTTTGTTTGATATGGAATTGGGCGATCGGAGAGGAGAGGATGAGGGAGGGCATTTGGCATTGGTGGACCATTTTACCAGTGCGAAAGAGGGACCGGATGTGATTGTACGGGCGCGTGTGTAGTAACTAAATAGCATTATTATTAAACTTATTTCTGTATCTACTTTGTGCTCGGTCTATTGTAAATGTTGTATGTAGTAAGATGGCAGAAATAGTAAGACACCAAGCCAGAAAGGACACGTGCCCACACTGCATGAACATATCACCCCAAGACTATGGGGATGAGAATGCAATAGCAACCCACCCTATTCATTCATTAATAGCTAACCTTGTACTATTCTCTATATTCATTCATCACTGGACTTTATTCCCAACTGTCATACATGATATCAAACCATGTCCATTCCTTAATCTAACATCACCATCACCATCCCTTAAACCAACCACAACAACAACAAGGACCCTTTCTCTCCCCTCACTAAAGCAACCCGCAAACCATTGCCCCAATAACCCCCTGAAAGAAAATCAAAAAGAAAAAGAAAGGGATAGAGAGAGAAGATGGTCTCCCCCCTAACAACAACCTTCATCCAATCCACCATCCTAAACGCCATCGCCAACATTCTAGCACAAATAATAGACCATCATCGGAAATCCGTAAGCCTATCCCCAGACAACACCAATAACAACCACAACACCCACAATCCCCCCAAAACCAAACCTAATACTAAAGATTCAAAGAAATCAACATTTACACCTAACCTCCCCGCCCTCCTCCAATTCATCACCTACGGGATAATAATCGTTCCCCCGAATTTCATCTGGCAGAGGTATCTTGAACGGCGGTATCCGGGGTTTCTTTTCCGTGGTGCATCCCAATCCCCATCTACTAACAACCTTTCCACTCCTCCTTTACGAACCTCAACCCCAAATGGTACTACTAAAAGAGGAGGAGGTCCAGGGCTAGGAGAGATATACATCTCCATCCCAGACCCAACCTCCACCGTTCTCCTCAAGGAGAAAAAACAAAAGCCAAACGGCAATTTCCTCCCTAGGCGCAGCAAAGGAGGCTGGTACAACTTCCTCATGAAATTTCTACTTGATCAGACGGTGGGGAGTGTAGGGAATATCGTACTGTTTATTGTTCTGATTAATTTGTTGAAGGGGGTGGGGGTGGGGGATGTTTGGGGGTTGGTTGTTGAGGTATTTATCTCTTTCATTATTTCCTTCTTCTTGTTGTTGATGTTGAGAGTTGTGGGTGTGTGTGTGTGTGTGTGTGGGTGTGGGTGTGGGATATGCTAACTGTGTGTCTGGACAGGACTTCAAACCTATCATGATCGCAAGACTCAAATATAGACCGATTGTCTCGTTGCTCATGTATACGGTTGTGCCGGTGGATCGGCGCGTCGTGTTTGGGAGTGCGTGTGGGGTGATTTGGGGGGTGTATTTGAGTTTGTATGCTGTTGTTTAGTCTCTCTTTCTCTATTTCTTTTATTGTCATTGTGTGTTGCTGTTGTTGCTGTTGTTACTAGAGTTGTGATGTGGTCAATCTTTCGTTTCGTTGTTTCTTTTGTCAGCGTGATACCTCGTCTTGGCCATCATTTCTTATTAGATCTATGTATCCTCTGCCTGTCGCTTAACTAGCATTATACAATTTATAAGTAATCACATGCAATCAAAACCCATAGCTTCTGGCAGACTACGCTGCCGGCGGCCCGATCTTCTTTCCCTTCACAGATATCCATTCAATAGGCAAGGCTCCAAAGATACTCAACGCTCCCATGGCTACAGCAACATAGAACGTCGTCGTCACGGCTCCATTATATGCCTCCAGTACGGCCGGCAGCTGATCCGCAGATACGACATGTCGTAGCATCGTTGCTCCCGCCTGCATCACAGAAGCAGGGTCAATACCTGATACCTGTGCGAGGTTCTTGCGCAGTTCATTCTGGAAGACGTTCTGCGCTACAGAGACAAACAGTGCTCCACCCAGTGTCTGCGTGAACGCCACGATGGCCGTCGCGCTGGGAACATCGGCGATTTTCAGCGCTGCTTGAACCACCATCATTGGTTGTTGCATGCCCAGGCCTGCGCCCATGCCGAAGATGATCTGGTATCCGATCCAGTGACCGGCCGAGGAATGCACACCCATGGTGGAGAGAAGGCCGCCGCCGACGGCGATGAGAACCGGGGATATCAGCATGAATGGGGTGTAGTATCCGAATGTAGAGACGAGGCCGCCTGCTACGATGGAGAAGATAACGACGCTGAGTAGCATGGGCAGGTTCATGATGCCGGATTTGGTGGCGCTGACGCCTTTGATGGCTTGGAACCAGATGGGGAGCTGTAGATGTTAGTGAAACAGTGAGGTACTTTGGAGTGATGAATACGCACATAGTATACTGCCACAAAGAAGGATCCGCCGACGCAGAAACTGAACAATGCAGCACCCCAAACATTTCGATTCTTGATCAGCCGTGGAGGAATCGTGGCTTTCTCGTTACCCCACATCTGTAGCACGATAAATATACCGATGAGGACCCCGAACAACACCAGCAGGGCGATGATGCGGCCATTTCCCCATTCGTAAGTGGTCCCACCCCATTGCAGTGCGAGCAAGACGCAGATGACTCCTGGCAAGAAAACAAATGTACCAGGCAAGTCAAACTGCGCGAGTTTATCCTTGAGCCCCTGGGTACTCTTGACTGATTTGGGTGCCTTGAAGAATAGCAGGATAAAGAAGATGGTTGCGCCGCCAATGGGAAGGTTGATATAGAAACACCATCGCCAGCTGACATGATCGGTAAACGCACCACCCATCAGGGGCCCTGCTACACTGGCGATTCCATACATGGAGGTAATAGAGCCGGTAAGGAAAGGCCTCCATTTCAGCGGTGCAGTCTGAGAGATAATGATCATGGCTCCTGAGAAGACTCCGGCGGCCCCAAGGCCAGCTATTGCCCGCCCGATAATCAGCGCAACCGAGTTGGGAGCCACACCACAGACCAGAGAACCAATCTCGAATATCGCGAGCCCCATCAGATACACCCATTTGGTGGAGTAGAAAGTGTACAGCTTGCCAAAAGCCAGGATGAGGCAGCATGTTGTAAGGAGGTAGGAACTGCCGTACCAGCCCACGTCGCCGAGTGACTGGAATTGGTCTGTGATTTTGGGGATTGCAGTCGCTAGAATCGTGTTGTCCTGATAGTATTAGCACGATCGCTTGCCTACGTAATGGAATACTTACCAAGGCCATGCAGAAAATTGAAAGACAGAGTCCAACCACAATCAGCGCGAGCCTCCACGAAGTAGGATACTCTGGCTCAGGTTCCGCATCATGGCTATGTATCGAGCTGGGTGCTTTTGGCTCGTGCTGTGCTTCGACCGTCTGTGAATGAGGGGAGGTGTCGCGCGCAGAATCAACGAGCGTACTCTCTTTGCTTCTAGCGGAACCGTTGCGTTCTGTCTGCGTGACCTTGAATGGTTTTAGTTCAGCAAACGGTCCCTGCTGTTTCTCAGCGTTGGAAGAATCCATGGCGAGAATAGGTATGCAAGACCCAAACCAATCTCACAACCTAAGCAGATGACGGTACTTAGGGCAGCAGTCAACAGTGTAGGTAGCAGTAGAAGAAATCCTCCTCTGGTCTGCACATGGAGCAGTTATCTAAGAATCACCCCAAGAAGGTTTAACAAAAGTGGCAGGAAGGAAGATCAGCAGTGAAAAGAAAGAAGGCTCAAGGAAAGCCTCCTTCCGGCTTCACTGGCTGACGACGATTGCCGTAATGGAAGCCAGCTTGTGTCACCATCTCGTAGCCACGCCAGTCCGGTCCAATGGCGACCCCTTGCTTTGTTGCGCATGTCAAGGCTCCAGACCATTCAGGAGCAGAAGCGATCCGTATTCCGAAGCACTGGTCAGGTTGTGCAAGCTGCAGGTATACCCCGGAGGGGTTGGCAGCGTGACGGGGCAAAGCGAGGGTCACACTGAGAGTGGATGGTTTGCTTCTGACATTCCGGCATCGGAAAGATTTCTATCCGGAGAGAAGCCCTTGAAAGATTCCTGTCAGTTGGGAATGATCAGGCGGGATATTCCCCCACAAAGAATATCGGAATAGGGGAATTCCAAGAAGGATGGATTAACTTCGATCGGAGACTCACCTCTGCCCCTGAAGCAAGGATTGGTGGGAGCCAGACTGCACCTAGACTAAGTACCTGCATGCTATTTCTGTCGTTGATTTTCGTTGCCAATCAAGTGGTCAAAGAAAGACAGACTCTAAATCAGGCACTATTGAATTCTTTCAGTTGGAGGTGGTTTTGGGCGGCTGTGGCGGGCAATAGCATCCTCGCTTCTCGTGCCGTCGCTTTGTTCGCCTGGTCGCGTTGGCAACTCAGGAGCAACGCGTGTTGGCTTAGCAGCGTTAGAATTCGGACTGGCCTTGTCAGCCCAATTACTCTTTGGTTGGCAAGCTACAGTGCTTGTCGCCCTATGAATCAAGATAATAGTAAAAAGAAAGAGTTCATTCCGACCTAGGATATATTCACAATTCCAGTAAGCTGTACAACGCCGTAAAAGATCAATTATGCCCAAACATCCGTCCTCCCAACCGCTCTTCAAACACCTAACCAATGCGGAAATCCTGCGAGATGGCCCTGACGGCCACTATTGCGCCTTTCTGCGGGCATCCTCCTTGCTAGCAACGAGGGCGATCAGAGCAGCACCCACGCCGCTGCCATCCTTGGAGATACCAATGCGGATCTTCTTGTTGCCGGCCTCGCCAACCTCGGGCACTTCGCGGAGGGCATCGCGCATGTAGCCTTCGAAGTTGGGGTAGAACTCGACCAGACTGCCATCAACACCAATGTCTACGAGGTCGTCCTTTTGCAGCTTGCCAGTAGAGAGGAGGACAGCAGCCAGCGGGACGGCACTCAGACGAGCAGCACGCTTGCCAATGGCATGAACAACGGTCTGGATGGCCTTGCAGTCATCGGTGGTGGGGTGTTCGATCTTGAGGTGATCCTTCAAAGCGACCTTGATCTGCTCCATATTCTCGGTCTTGTCGGCCTCGACCAGACTCAACAAGCTGGTGTCAATACCCCACTGGCGGTACAGGGAAGACTCCTTGGGCACAGACACAGTGGAAGCCCCGCCAGTCTTGAGGAAGCCCAGGGACTCGTTGCGCTGCATGTCCAGCATGACGCGGCGCAAGATCTCGCCCAGGAACATACCCGAGACGCGCTTCTCGAACATCTGGATGCCCGGGTTGTTGCTGTCGGCATCGAGCTGCTGGTCGTAGATGGTGTTCGGTAGGACACTCAGGTGGTTGTCGAAGCTGCCCCATTCGGCGTTGATGATCATCTCACCGGTGGTCTTGTCGTACTCGGAGTGTTCAATGGTCTGCAGCTTCGTGATGCGGTCCAGCTTCTCCACATAGGCGCCATTGGTGCCCGTGCCGAAGATAGCACCCAGGAAAGTGCCCGTCTCTCCAGGAGAGGTGTATGAACGAGCCATGAGGGTTCCGACAGTGTCGTTGACCAAGGCAGCCACGCGCACCGGGAGTCCCAGATCATCGATGGCGTTCTGCAGCAAGGCACAGACATCTTGACCCACCGCATCGGGAATGTTGAAGCCCTTCGTCCAGCGAATCAGGGTACCCTTGTTAATGCCCAGCTGACGCACAGGGAAACTGAAGGTGAAACCCAAGTCGAACAGGTCCTCTTCACAGTTGCCATTCTTCTCATTGCGGCGTCGCAGATGAGCTTCGAAGTGGTCGTTGTGGTGAATGCGCAGGAACGATTCGATCTGGCGGGCCAAGAACAAGAAGAGATCCTTGGCCGTACCGGACGCCATGGTCTCACGAGGAATCATGATCTTGGACTGGGTAAGGGAGAAGGTAGTGTCTCCATGTAGATCGATCGAGCACACGCGGAAGTTGGTGCCGCCGAGATCTACTGCCAGGTACAAACCCTGCCAATGACCAGGTCAGCTGCTGTTTGGCGGAGGGAGCTGATTGGTGTGTAACGTACCTTTTCCGTGCCATTGGGCACTGCTGTGACATAGGTCGGGATCTGACTGAGGGTCGTGTGCTCCTTGGACAGACCTTCATCGATCTCGCGAATGTATTCCGTTACTCCACGTTGCACCTCAGCAGCGGGGTAGTCGAACTGGCTGGCAATGCGCGCAGCCTCGGACAGCAGAGCAGATGACATGACGACGGAAGAGATGTGGATATGAGGGAGAGTGTGAGGAGATGGAAAATAGACGGAGCCTCAAAGAATGTGTTGAGACGACAATAAACACAGTGTGCAGGAAAAAAAAAAGTGGTGAAGGAGGAGACCGGATGGTGGGGTTCAAGTAAATACGGGGAGGGGCAGACGGAAGCTGGAGGGGAATTCGGGGAATGGAGAGAGAGAGAGAGAGAGAGAGAGAGAGAGAGAGAGTAGAGGGAGGATGTGGAGGGAACAAAGGATAAGGATCAGGAGGAGGATACGAGCAGGAAGAGTCTAATAACTATTATCCGGAATGAGCATACGATGATGAAGGGGGAGCAAGTGGGCGTATTAATAGCAGAGCCATGAAGCCCAGTAAAGAAACTAATAATCTTGCAGTTGGAGGGGTCGATGAGGTCAGTCCGACGGGCTCAAGCCAACGGGAACGCCGGGTTCGCCGGGTTTGCCAGGCGTGGCCAAAGGGAAATTGGAAAAGGGTTCACTACCACTTCCAGTTCTCTCTGCTTCCCCCCCCCCTTCCCGACTTCTCGCATTGCCGATGTCTCGCACTTGTCCCAGATTTACTAACTTAGTGCGTGGTTCTCTCCAGTCTCCAGTCTCCAGATGCCACTCCTCGCACTAACAAGTGGCCCAGTTGCCTGCAAGACGGGGTTGCCGCGAGTCGGTAGCGAATCCGCCCGCGTGTCTGCCATGACGCATGAAACCAACTTGGTGGGGTTTAAGCCGTCGTTCACCGGTGAGAGGGAATTGGTTAGCAGCGAAGGGAATGGAAGGGCGAGGATGGCTGTTGCACACAATGCAATGCCACAATGCCATTCTCGTGCTTGGCCTCTGCGTCAGTCAGGAGAGGGTGAGACCACGCGGTAGGTGGTGAATTAGTGGTGATGCTGGCCTTCCCCGTCTCCGGATGCGGTCGTCGTCTGGGGCATTGGGGAACCTGGAGATGCTGACATGAGCATCATACTAGTACCTGGATCGGACTCAACTCAACACTACAATTCCAATATGTCACTACGGCTGTTTGCTTTGGGACGGACTAGTCCAGCTGTCAGAAGATGATGATCAGGGGATTCTCGTCTCGACGTAACCTTAAGTAACCGTCCAGCCTATGCAAGCAACCATTCCCTTGACGGCTGCTCCCTGCATGCTGCAGTATCACTGCGAGATTTTATCTCAGGATCAGCCACTTAAAGGCTTCGATCTGTCAGGTCTGTTACTTATTGTTTGCATGTACAGAGTACGGAGAACTTTGTAGTATACATTGCTACGTCACCCGAGTAGAGTTCTAGCGAACAAGACGATAGGCCGAGCGATCTTCAAGCACGTGAGATTCGACACAGTATACTACTCACCAACATGAGATTAGCTAGTTTAAGTTTGTAGAGAAAGCAACAACATGCCTATTGCTGTGCTAATTAGTAACTCATTGAAGCACCTCTCACCATCGAGTCAATTCATACCCATGATTTGACCCTCTGAGATCCAAAGTCCAACCCTCAACCCAACCACTCAAAACAACACCACCAACACCCAAAAACCATCTAAAGGTACAGTAAGAACCCCCAATCTAATACAGTTTCTCCAAGCCAACCATCCCAGCAACCCCGGGCACCAACTGCATCTCTACCCAACCTCCAGCGTCCAAGAAAGTAAAAAAGCTAACCATCCCAAACCGGAAACCCCGTGACTAATCGAGCAACAATAACTAGCCTAAGGCATCAAGACATCACCCATCCTCTCCAGGCACCAAGACATCAACTAACCGCAGCCAACTTCTGCCTCAGGCACAAAATGACTAATCACACGTGACCCGGCGGAAGTCGGCTTCAGAAACGGACCTTGACGATATGCAATTCCCTGCTCCGACACAGGAATTGCCCTCGATCAGGATCTCTCGGCGGCCAATTGCAGTGTTCCACTGAAACCGAACTACACTCGCCTCTTTCCCCTCTCTCCGGTCCACCAAACAATACCAAAGACAGCTTCGGCTGAAGGAAGTCACGGACACACGAAACCCGATATCCGCACATCATGGGCGCCGGCAGCTCTAAGCCCGCGGCTCCGGCCGACTCGAAGCACGTTTTCTCGAGGTAGGATGCTTTGCTTGTTACATTGGACAATTACATATTTCTCTGGTGGTGCTGGTATATCGATTGGCTTGGGCTGGGATATCAGTGGACGCGCTCAATGCATGCATGATATTGAAGCCGGACTGTCTTCACCGAGGATGATCATACCTACCCAAACCAACCATATAAATAAATAAATAATTCGACATGGGCGATACCCTTCAAACCACTGAACACAGTCACAATGAGAATAAATCGGAATACCAGCTAACAGCTATATCCTACACAGCTCCTCCCCCGTCCAATTCTCCGCCAACTTCGTTGACGGCCTCCAGTCCAACACCGAGGTACGTACATTTCCCACCTACCTACCATACCTAACTCATCTAACCCACCTCATTCAATGAAAAAGACCGACTCCGCACGCGCCCGCTCCCTCGAACTCCAAATCCAAGAGCGCGTAGCCCAAGAACTCGAGCGCCTTCGTGCTCGCGAACAGCAAACGCTGGCCGAGATCGAGAAGAAGCTTGCCGAAGCCAAAGACGTCTCTTCTTCGACACCCGCGCCCAGCCACGCTCCCAGCAGTGGGGGTGCGGCCTCCTCCTACTACCCACCCGGATCTCTGGATCTGGATGCGCCCCGGATCCCGTTCGCGGGGCGGGAGAGCTACTTCGCGACTGCTGCTGCTGCTCCGGCGGTTGAGGCGGCGCAGCAGCCGATCAACCGGGAACTGTCGCGGGAGAGCGTGAACAGTGAGATTGAGGAGTTGAGGGCGAAGTTGGAGGGACGGAAGAAGTTGGTTGAGATTGATGCGGGGATTGAGAAGGCTAGATCGGAGGTGGTGAGTTGTTTGAGGTTGAATGATCGGAGGCCGTTGGATTGTTGGAAGGAGGTTGAGGCGTTTAAGAAGGAGGTTGCTAGGTTGGAGGAGGGGTTTGTGGATCGGATTGTTGGGTAGATGATTTATTTATTTATTCCATAGGGATATATTGATAGAGAGGTGAGGTATAGTGGTGTGTAAGTGTGTGTTTGTTCGACTGTTGCTGCTGCTGCTGCCGAGTCATCAATCCCGGTTTGTGCATGTGTGTATATGTATACCTAGCTTGCTAGAGAAGGTTACTGGTTTCTGTTTTCATCTTTCATTTTACTTAGAGTATGTTGTTACTGGTGTAGATGTTGGTTGGCTGAATTCTCCCAACTAAATGGGCATATCTTAGATATTCATCTCTATCATAGATCTATACTCGATTCTAACCCCTCCTCCCCAAACAATCAATCAAAGACACACAGGGTATCACGCAACAAAGTCACACAATCCATCCTTACACATCAAACCAACTCCCAAAACCCGACCCTCGCCACCGTCTCCCCCGCACTCCTAATAATACACATATTCTTCCCACTCGCCTTCCCCTTCTGCACCTTAGACAACAAGACAGACCCAATCCCCGTACCCTTTCCCTCAGCAAGGTTATAATTGCCCGTCGTAACGAATCCAATGAGGTCCTCCTCCGTTGGAACCGGCAAATGTTTCTGACGAACATCGTCGCCCGCAGACGGAGTGATAAGCGTTGCAGCGAGCTGTTGCTGGACATCTTCAGGGCCGAGGTTGGCGGTAGATCGGGATTGTTTTTTCTGAAGCTCATTCCTAAGACCATCGTAGGGTTGCTTTGATGATAGCGTGAGCCAGTCCTGGCGGAGCTCGCGATCGGTGGTTGGGAGTCGGTAGATGCGGGCTCGGGGGCTGGGTGTGCCGCGGTTGAGGAGAGTGAGTTTGACTGTTGCTAGGGCTGAGGCGTTGATAGTAGTAGTGGTAGAGGGGTCGGTGAGGGCGCGTGTTGCTTCGGATGTTGAGAGCTGGTAGATGCTCAGTGGTGGAAGGGTGGCATTGGCGTCGTTGTCTTGGGGGTTAGTGGTGTCATCCGGTTTGGACTCAGTCTCTGAGGGCTGTTCCTTGTCGGTTGTTTTGCTCGCCTCTGGTGCTGCTCCTTGGACGAGTCTCTCCCAGTCGCAGGCCCAACCGCGTCCTATCTCACCCTTTTGTCCGTTTCTCAGATCGATACTCTCGAACTCGGTTCTGCGCCCCTTGGGACGTCGCTCCCACTCCCGCTTCGCTTCGCTTCTCTCGCGCAGACCCCATTCCCACCCAGCGCGGGTGCCTGGGAAGTCACCAGGGAACCAAGGCTCTCCTGATTCGAATGAGAGCTGCTGCTGCTCTTTCAGACCGCCGAATCTGGGGTTTCCGCCGCTCGAGAGGGGATAGTACATCAGCGAGTACCAGAACGGAAGCACGCACTTCCATGGGAGGAGGACAGTCCAGGTTCCAGGTGCGCTGCTGCTCTTGGAATGGGTAGGTCGACTGGCGAGTACCATCACAGGTATCTTGGGGTCGGTGTCTTTGGCGGGTGGGCGTACGCCAGGACCAGCTTCGGTTCGACGCCGATTGATAGCTTTTTGGCTAGGCAACTGGCGTGCAGCAGCTAACCGGGCGCGACGGTCGAAGAGAGCAGGGGCCGTCTGCGTGTTATCCGGGGACCACGACGAGAGTAGTATAGCCAGCCGTTGCATCTCTTCCTCTGACGACGATGGCTTCAAAGTCTTGGGCGGGAAATCGAGGCGAGGGTCGGAGACAGAGAACCCAAGGACAGCGTCCTGCGGCAGAGATGCAGGGTTCGTTACCCCCAGGAGAGAAGTCCATGTAGCCTCCGGACTGTCCGCAGCGAAATCCTTCCCATCCACAGAAACCGGCTTGAACGACGCAAGCAATGCCTCCGTAGCCCCCGGACCAGTGATCTCGATACTGCCAATCTCAAACCGCAAGTCCTCGACCATAACAGGAGGATTCTGCTTCTTCGAAACACCCAGCAGGGCATCCCACAACTGCAAAAACGCAGACGGATGCACCCGAACAAACACCTTCCTCCAACCCTTCTTCCCCTTCTTCTGCTTCCCACTCTCATCAGCATCAACCATCTCCACATCCTCCCCCTTCACCTCAGCACACCAAACCAACGTAACCGGCGCAATGGGCCTCTTCTCCCCCTCCCACTCATACACCAAAGTCCGCAACCCCCTCGTGCCAGCCCTCCACTTCCTCCCCTTCACCCCCCACGCCTTCTCCCCCTCAACCCCAACAGCCCTCAACACCCCCTCAATCGCCCCCACCGACCCCTCCAACTGAACCGTCGCCAAATAACTCATATCCCACGCCACAGCACCCCTAGACCCCCTCGCGCGATGCGTCGGCCGATAACTCTTCTCCGTCGGCGACAACGGCACCGCGAACCTCCACAACGGATCCTTAGAAGTAGCCATATGCGCCCTCTTCGCATGAAACATATGCGTCGGCAACCAAGTCTTGCACTGCTGGCGTTTCTTGAACCTAGCTTCCGGCGGATTCGGCCTCGACAATTTATTCTTCTTAATTTTCGGCACCCGCGGCGCAATCTCATACGCATGACTACCGGATTCTTCCAACGACTTCCGGGCCTCTTTATCTCGCTGAGCTTTCACGGCCGCACGCTTGGCTTTCGTCTTCGCGTTCAGGTTCTGTAGTCGCCGGGCAGTTTCGAGCCGAATGCGCATCTGTTCGGTCGGTTTGCGGGTTCGTGATGATACCGTGGGAGTGTTGTCTTCTATCATCTGCACACAGAATCATAGTCACATATTAGAATATTCACAGAAGCCCATTGAGAGTAACCCTTGCAAAGAAAAAAAATATATACCTCTCTCCTCGCCCTAGCCCTCAACCTCTTCGGCACCCTCTTCACATTATGACTCGCCGTCCGTCTCCTCAACGACCTCGGCACCTTCTGGAACGCCCGACTCGTCAACGCATTCTTCGATCGCTGGATCCCCGATTCGAGCGACCGGATCTCATATTCTCTTGCTTCCACGTATGCAGCGACATCTAGTTCGCCGGAGGCTGACAATGCCGCGTCGGCGACCTGCACGGCGAGCGAGCGCGCATCGAATGTTTTTTGGCGTTTGCGGGCGGCCGCGGCGGAGAAGTTGGGAGCAGCAGGTTTGCGCTTCGGTGGGTGGGAGGCCATGATGGCCGGTGATTGTGTTGTGTTTTGTGCGAAGGAGAAGAAATTAATTTATCATTTAGGTTTTGTAGGAGAGGGGAATTTGTTGGAGTTGGATAATTAAAGCTTTAAAGATTCCTGCAGAAAGGTCCGGGTCTGGAATGAAATGAAATGAAATGATGGCATGGTTTGATTTGGTCTGGTTTGGTTTAGCGCGGTGTCTGTTCCGTCGTCCGTCGTCGACTTTCAGTTTTCCGGCCGACAGAATTGAGAAACTAGTGATGGGAGCAGCCACTCCGACGCAACAAAATGGCAACGCAACCAATGATCGTTGGCTGACGGTTAAATGCTCAAGTTAATCCTAGTACTTTAGTTCTTGTTGTTGACGCTTTGATGTTCGGGTTTTCTTGTAGATCATTCTTAGCTAGGGGTGGACTACTAGTAGCTTGTTTTTCTCTTTGTATATTTTCTTGCCTTTTCTTCTTTACTCTTAAGGTTATTCTAGATGATCGTTGGACATAAGTATACTACGTACTGGCATCATACTACAATATGAACAATGTTGTCGTAGCTTCGTAAGCGCGTTGATTTTCTTTCTATCTAGTGGCTGTGTCTAATTTCTAACGCATTATCCCACCAGAATATCAATGTCAACGCTATCTATCATCGGACGCCTGCCATGTCTATCGTCTTTAAATGACACGTTTACAGCTGCTTGAGGACGGCCTCGGCGCTCGAGAACTGCAATGATGGTTAGTAGCTATTCACCTGGACATGAGAAGAGTAGAAAACATACCTCGAGGTGGTTCTTGGCGGGCTCACGCTTGGCGTAGGTGACCTTGCCGTGGTCGATGATGATGGCGTAGCGACCAGTGCGGCCCTCCTCGTCGGCCCAGCCGATGCTCTTGGAGAACTTGGCCTCGGGGTCAGACAGGAAGAGCTGTAGAAGGGTTAGTATCATTGGTCTGAAGGACAAATGAGAAAAGAAGAAGGGAATCTTACAATGTCGTCGTTGGTGACCTGGTTGGCCTTGCCCCAGGCGCTCATGACGTAGGCATCGTTGTAGGCAAGGACGGCAACAACGTCGACACCCTTGGCGCGGATCTCAGGGAGTTTCTCAACGTACTCGGGGACGTGGCGAGCAGAGCAGACGGGGGTGAAAGCACCGGGGAGGGCGAAGAGGATGACCTTCTTGTCGGCCCACTCCTTGGAGGCGTAGTAGTTGATGGGGATACCGCAAGAGGTGATCTCGCCCTTCTCCTCGGACCAGGGGATGTAGCTGTGAAAGGAGACAAGAATGTTAGTGAATGTACTAATAATAGTGTATGGTGACCACAGTATATGGTTGCGTTGCTGCGCGAGACACCAGCAACCGGAAAGGCGGAAGACGGTGGGGGAGGGGCAAAGAAAGAGAGAGAGAAGATGAATGAAGAGAATACTCACGAGAAGGTAACGTCAGCGGGGAAGCTGTCACCGGGGTTGAGGCCAGACATTGTGAATGAGATTAGTTGGTAGTAAGGTGTACTAGAAAGGGTATGAGTGATTGAGTAGTAGTAGTGAGTTGTGAGAGTGTAGAAGATTGGGAAGGGAATGGAAGGTTGGTTATATAGGGAAGAAGGGGAGACGGAACGGGGGCAGCGAGCCTGTGGCGGGTAATTCGACCTTAGCTTCAGTTGAATGAATGGTTCCTGTGTCAAGGGCAACGAATAACGCGGCGACGGCCCGCCCACGGCGCCATGAGGTGATCCGAAGCAGAAGGATACCGAAACCCTTCGATTGGTAGGGCTTTGGAGGGGGAACTGTATTATCAAGAAGACCGCCCGAGACTGACTGACCCCACCACGCATTCCTTTTACGGGTCTGCGCCATTCCCGTCCACTGGCCACCATATCTAGACCGTCCCCGTTGACAAATCGGCCCTCGATTCGATGTTCAAGTCTTTGCTGTTGTTGCTGCTACTCCTTCCTGGAACGTGTTTCCGGACCAGATATCCCATACCCTCTACAGGTGGGCTCTCTCTGCAGGGTTCAATCATGAGTCTGTCTGGGCTTGCATTTCTGGGCCATCCTCAGTCACCCCCATAAATTGGGCATCAATTCTATAGCTAATTAGCACTGCTATCACAGAGCATTAATTCCCCAGGCTCATCATTCTCCCGATGTAGTATCAACTATCAATTGCTGGTTATCAGGAGCCGGCACTTCATCCGAGTCTGCATCAGTACAACTAAAGCTTGGTTACTTCCCGTATTACCCCTGATCCTGACGCCACTCTACCTCCAATCTGGTCCTCATTCTAGATAGATTCTCTATCGATATGCCTAGTAAATAGCCATTGGCATCTACAAATCAACCAACGCTGCAGATCAAGCCTCTATGTAGAACCAAAAGCAGAGGTCTTCCGTAAATCCGATATGAACACAAATCTGCTTGTTTACCTCTACTCACCAGAATTACCACTCAATCTACCCAAATCCTTAACGTGTAGCAGTATCACCAACCCAATGCCTCCTAACTTTAGCGTATATCACCGCCAACAAGCTTATCTCTGCCTCCAAAGATAGTAGTACTGAGGAAACCATCCCACCTCGACACCTCAGGCATATACGCAGTGCCCCTCCATCCCAGCACCCAAACTCCCCTCCTATTGGCCTAAAAACCCGAATCACGAGAAAGTAGCCCCACCTAAGCCAATATCGAACCAATCAATAGTCTCCACCCACCACCGCCCTGCTCTTCCTCTGCCAAGTCAGCCAATACGTAACCAATCCACCACCGCAAATAATATCCTCAGGGACCTTGGTGTGCTGGTGCTTGGTGACCGCCACTATGATTTACGACTTTCCGAAGATTTTCCTCCTCGAAACTCTCTTTCTAGGCAATGAGTTTGTTTCAGCCAGGGAGAAACATTCTCGCACATTGTTACCGTGGATAAGAATACCATATCCCGCCTTGCCACTTAGGTAGAGTACTATGATGTGGTGATCCTCGGCTTGTGTCGGACCCATTCGACTGCTTACTGTGTTAGTACTTGGTAGGCACGGGTCCTGGTATCCGAGCATCTGATAAGATTGGCCAACCAACCATAGGAAAGCCAGGTCGACCCCCGATCACGGAACTCGACTTTCGGTGGCTGAGCGCACTTGGCTGCTAATGATTATGATGGTAACACCGCGCAGAAGCCGATCCAACGTTGTGATGAATAACACCTTGCTGGTTTTCCCCGGCATTTGCATGGATTACCTAAGGTAGGCGAGTCTGGGGCAATGGTTTGGGATGATCTTCCCCACCGCGATTATACATCCTCCGGGTTCTAGAAGAAACGCCTGTCTTGCCCCTGACGATGGACAGGGGTTGGTCTGCAAATACTTCGATAAGGTCGGCTTAATAATTTTAGTAGTCTAGGCAATACTTCTTAAATTGAGCGCAGGTGATGTAACCGGTATACTCAAATAGAATCTGCTGATGTAATGTGTTACTCATGCTCTTAGTCGAGATACAGGGCAATTTGCTATGAATGGCATTCTAGCCAGTTCCTATGATGTAAAAGAATGATAACTGCAGCGCTCCTTTGCAATAATTCACCCCATTCACGCGCCTAGCAGATGGCGCACCTCGCTCAGCGAGTGCAGTGCAGACATCAGTTCCGTGTCCCCTGACGACATTATCTGGCTTCTCTCATACCCGGCAAGATGAAAGGGGAGCTCCTCCACCTGGCAAACAGTTCCGGGACCTGGTAGCTCTCCGGTCTGGAAATACTGGCGTATTGCTTTCGCGGTACACAAGGACGGACCACTCAATGTGCAATGCTGCGATATTGGAATGTTAGTCGTCTTGCATATAGGTTTGGGGGAGGGACAGAAAAGAGTACTCACCCCAACGGAGTTCTGCTCTAACACTATTGACTCGGGAAATCCACGCGCCATAGTATGAGCACTGCGGATGCGTCAGTTGGTGCTTCGGAGTCTGTCAGGACCGAGTGAGCAAAACTTACTTCCGGAGCGGAGTTACTGGATCATAAGTATTCCCGATAAATAGCAACGGGTGCGATGTGTTGCCTGTAAAGGGCCCTTGAAAAACACATACTTGTCAGCTTCTACTGCGGTGATGACATGTGTTGTTCAGACTTACCATCGTAGCGCCACTCAGGCCGCGTTTCCATTCTGACACACGACATGCGAACCTCAGCCCAAAAATCTCCAACCGCCTTACTTTGTCCCTGGAGCCTATTCCAGTAGCTCCTGAAATCCTCCTTGGCGGTTCCGTCGAGGCCTGGGCCATCTGTGCATAGGATATTCCTCCCGGCCTCCTGATCGCTCTCGCCAGGTGCTTTGTATTGTTTGGAGGAATCGCACGGAGGAGGTGCTGGCCATTGTTTGGCTTCGTACTTGATATCAGCGAAGGAAGAGCCGTTACCTTGCTCGAGTTCAGTCAACAACCGAGCCACCAGATTGAACGACTTCAAAGGAGTATAGAGAGCCTGCACAACCAACGACTTCACGTCACTGTAGGTTATGATCTCTGGTCCCCTGTTTCCTAAGGGAGGTACGGCAATAGGGCTCGATGTAAGATTGGCCAGAAGTTGCTCATAACGAGATTTGAGGTCTTCGGAATCTCCGCCCAGCGCGAACGGACATGATGAGGGCCCAGCTGTTTGGCAATACTCGAAAAACTTATCGAATGCTGCATCCGAATCTTGTAAGTTGGTAAGCCAGTTGCCTGCGTAATAATCATCAGCGTTGCAGACTCCGTCTATCACAGCACGGTGTATGCGATGGGGCTGCATAGCCGCAAACGTGGAACCCAGGATTGTCCCATAGGAAAACCCCCAGTAGAGCAGCTTCTCCTCCCCTTTTTTCCAGCTATTGTGCAGACCTACTCTCTCGGCGTCCAAATTTGGTCCAGCAGGGGAAGTGTTAAAAACCGTCGAAAGTAGTCGCTCTGTTTCTCGTTCACGCCATTCTCCATGGCGCTCTACGAGTTCAACCATGTCCACCACCACAGGAGCCGTATTCATAAATTTTCCTATCCATTCTCCATCCTTTGACGCTGTAGCTCCTTGTTGATTGCAACTCATACCAAAAGCTTCATACCTTGCCCAGCGAGTATCGAAGACTCCTTCAGAACTTCCAAGTAGACCCTCTGCCTCTGACTGCAGTAACCACGCTTTCCTCGTCGTGGAGTCAGGAAAGCAGGATAAATTGGGTTTAGTATTATTAACCCCTCTTGGGTCAAAGCTAACAACATCAAAATACTTTCCGCCCGCCGAGTTTGCACTTGGCGATTCTGGGGAGTCGACGATGGTCTGGATAGCTTTCCCATATCTAAAGACCAAGCTCACTCCGGATCCACCAGGACCACCTATTCTACAATCAGAGGAAACCTTTTAGAGTAGTAATATGGCTCTGCATACCTGGGTTCAAAAGAATGGCCCCACCATATCGCGCATCTGTGACAGGTACCTTTGCAGGAACTTTGATAACAGCCAAGGCAATCTTTGACCCTTCGCCATCCGTTCGATTCCAGTTCATTGGAAGCGACAAGCGAGCGCATTCGTGATGGTCAAAGCATGGATGGTATATGAGTTGTTCGGTGGGGGTAATCTGATAGCGTATATTAGAACATTACATCCCAGCCTGATACATTCACCTACATCTTCCCATTCAAAGGACTTATCGGGGGTTGGACTTGGCAGCTGTTGTTCAACGCTCTTGCTTCTGTCAAGTCCGCCACATATGTAAATGATAGCAACCGCGACCAGAGCGAGGAAAAGGAGGATTCGAATGGCTTTTCCATTGACAGGGTGTGGCCTAGATGGCACTACTGCCATACCAGGTCGGTGGCCAGGCAATTTTGAATCGAGAGACATTGTACGAATGCCTTGGATCTAATGGTATGATAGACCGCTTGCTTAATAGATTGGCGCTCTGGAGAGGAGGTCGCAACGTTGCTAATCCTGCTCACTTTCTGACGGTCAGAGCATTTGCCTGTCCTTGACGAGCATAAGACCGCATATTTATAGTGGCCGAGTCAGCTCAAAGCACTAGTAGCCAGTTTCCGTCCGCTAGAGTATATTGAGATGACATACCCTTGTAAGCCGGATGCAAAAATCAGGTCCGAGTGGTGAGATTCAGTAGCTGCACGGCTTAGCCCTGCGATTACTTCATGCCAGGCAGCTTCCTACTCTAGAAGGATCGCATTGTGCCGCGGGCCTTCCTAACCTGGAATAGCCTTGCGCTCCTTGCGACCTTTACCGATAGGCTGATAAGCTGATGAGTAAGTACCTCGCAGGATGCTATCCCTGTAGGCAACAGGTGCCGGGCCGGGGGGGGGGTAGTCTTCCACAGACCTTGGTTAACCGACAAAGCTGACCATCGATGGTAGATAATATATTTTGTCTGAAAGTAATATTAGCAGGCTATGATTTATGATGCTCATCCCTATAAACCATGACATCAATTACACACTTTCCCAAAAAGTGATTTGTAGTAGCAGTAGTAAACTGGCAGTGATCCAATGAATATATATATCCGCCCTACAAGAAGAATACTAGTAGTAATAGGTAGTATGAGTGGGTCGCCACATCAATGATTTGAACTCAAACGATCGAGTCTCAATCATATTCAGCAACATTACTACTAGTTACTCAATATAATGTTATTTACACGCTGATGATATGACAGTTACTGATCATCCTGAGCGGAAGCCTCTAATGCAGCGCTAACATCTCAACGACCACTAGCCCCCACGTGACGTGAAACGGCTTATGTACAATGAGTCAATAATAAGCTCTCTCACTGACTATCTCACGTTTCCTGCTTAATCCCAAATCTGTCCAACGGATCTGTGTTTTCTTCATCTCTTCTATATCAAAATAAACTACTATACGATGGCTGACATCAAGCCCCCTTTCACCGAAGAATCGGCTTGGAAGAAGGTCAAGGCAGCTCAGAACCTATGGAACACCAAGTGAGAACTCCCTCCCTCCACGACATGTATCCCTCTGGGAGATCTAGAATCCTGTATCTTGCACCCTGTCGTCATTTTCGACGCTGGTATGAGGGGTTAGAGTCTGCTGTGAACTCAGATTTTCACCCCTTGCGTCCAATCGAGGCCTTTACCTCGTGTCTCCCATTCTTCACGCCCTGCAGTGATTTAATTCCATTTCTCTCTGATAACCCACGGCATTCTTAACAGCAGCTGAAACTCACACAATGTTTCTGCTCTACTGCTTGCTCGCATACTCACCTGCTTTACATGTAGGGATCCCGTGCGAGTTGCACAGGCTTATACGCCAACATGTATCTGGCGCAATCGGACGTCATTCTTCTCCGGAACAGAGGGAATCGTTGAGTTCCTGACTGCGAAGTGGAAGAGGGAAGAGAATTATAAGCTGCGAAAGGAACTGTTCTCCTTCACCGACAACCGCATCGCAGTACAGTTTTGGTACGAGTATCAAGATATTGATGATGGTCTGCGTTGGAAGCGGTGCTATGGCCTTGAAGACTGGACCTTCGATCGAGAGACAGGAAAGATGTGTAAGAGAATGATGAGCGGCAACGATGTGCTCATCGGGCCTAATGGAAATGGAGAGGGAAGATGGTTTGTGGACGGTGTAGATGTCGAAGACGTCGAAATTGGAGAGGAACATTGGTGAAAGGCTACTTCTAATTTCTGCACACCATAAGGCCGCTGTCATTTACTGCATTAGCAATACTCCCTATATTCTATATTCCCTGAATAAAAAGAAAAGCAAAGTGTCGGAGTTATGGCGATTCATGATGCTCCCATGGTATGTTGGATGCGAGAAGTACCGCAGGATTCCAAGTTCGGTTTCTCCGTCCTCTTCAGATACCCGTCAGACAAGGAAATCTATCAACATATTAGAAGGTGTTATGCCCTTATCGACGGTTGTTAGATGATCATGTGATAAGACAGTCGACGAGTGGCCTGCGTCTACACATGCAGAGACCGCAGGTAAAATCTCTGAAGCGCAATGCAAGAGCGAAGGGCAACAGTTATCCCTATCCTTGCGACTTAAACTTAGTGTAAACAAGGGGCAAAGTAAGCCTGCCTGGAGTATTCGACAGACTCGAGCGGCGTGCAAACCCCTGTCTTCACGCCACGAAGGGGGGAATGCATGTCCCTTTGACTTGCCAAAGATCCCAGCCACCTCTTTATCGCACCGGTGTCTGCAATGACGTCGCATTTTGATGAGCCTAGGGGTTTCGATCACATCCGGGGAATTTAATGGAAAGATGAGTATGGCGGATTCTTAGATACCACCATCGAAATTAAAGATAAGTCAATGCGTTATCAAAGTATTATGCCTGCAAAAATGAATATCATCATAATCACCTCATCCATTACCTGAGATGAGTCGCATCAATGAGATAGATAGAGGATTCCTTTATTTCAACTTTTTGTAGTCAGCAGTACTGGCAAGAAAGCATAATTAGCCCGGGTTGATTTCCGCATTCCAAACTGTACTTCACACAATATTGCCGAATGCCCGGGTGGGTGGAAAGGAATTCCGAGCAAAACAAACACTCGATGGTCATTCCACAGACTCTCCTCGCCGTGGTATGTAGCAAACCCGGCTGAAAAACCATGTTTGCTCCCTTTGACCGCCGAGCATGGCTCAGGAAAGCATGCCTCCAGGAGATTACCGGTACTCTAGGAGATTCATCTGCACTCCTATGCCCTTCTCACCTAGCCATAGCAGTCTGGAGTTGGTTTGATCCGCAAGCGTTGTGGTTGACTGCCTTTCCCTCATAGCACTACATGGGGACCTGAAAGGGCAAACAGGCAGGAGAGTACTAACAGAACAGCAGGATCAGACAATAGGCGATTCAAACAACAACCTCAAGTATTCGCTGTTTGCACGACGTGCGCGTTACCTAGGACTACGCGTGAGTGACTACTCCGAACCTATAGAGAGAGCTGGTCAGCTGTATGTACCAGTCATTCCATTCTGATGTATACGCGTCAATATCCTTTTGATTTCTAACAATATGACAGCACGGCATAGAAGAATCGAGGCCTATACGGGAATCTTCTATATGCAGACGCGTGTTTGATTGACTCTTTCTTCGATAAACGGGGCAGATGGACGGGGATACAGCTCTTCTTACTCCCGACACAATGCGGACTCCCTTGACGGATGCTTCAGCAAGAGTAAACAAATGCCTTGCCCCGATTACAGAGCGAGAGGAGCCACTGAGACAACCACAGCAACAGATGACATCGCCGGTGCCGATGTCCATTGTGACAAGTCCTCTGTCCGCGAAAAATGCCGATGTCAACTGCAGCAGCCCGGCTCCAGGCTCACAGCCAGGGACTAACCGCAATTCTGTAATGTCAGCGGCGTCAATAATCACCAACCAAGGCAAGAGGAAGACACACGTGGGACCATGGCAACTCGGAAGGACCCTCGGCACTGGGGTGAGCGGTCGTGTGAGACTAGCGAAGCATTCGGTAACGGGGCAGTTGGCTGCGATCAAGATCGTCTCAAAGAAATCCGCCGCAATAACGCAGAGTGCGAGTATTGCGGGAATGGATAAGAAGGCCAATCGTATCGGAGGTATAGGGCCGCGCCAGATCCCATCCGGGCTGGAGCGCGAGGTTGTCATCATGAAACTGATCGAACACCCAAATGTGATCAATATCTATGATGTTTGGGAGAACCGGGGCGAATTGTAGGTGGCATTGGACGCAACTGGAAGTTATGGCTAACACTACGTAGGTACCTAGTATTAGAGTTCGTTGAAGGGGGCGAGTTGTTCGAGTACGTCTCTGAGAACGCCCCTCTTAGAGAGGACGAAGCGGTACGAATATTTTGCCAGATAATTGCTGGCCTGGGTTATTGCCATCGCTTTAACATCTGTCACCGAGACCTGAAACCGGAAAACATACTTCTTGATGCGCAGGGCAATGTGAAGCTCGCTGACTTTGGAATGGCCGCTCTTCAGCCATCGCATCGCTGGCTAGACACGTCTTGCGGAAGTCCACATTATGCTGCCCCGGAGATCGTCGGAGGGAAGAGATATCTCGGTGACAAAGCAGATATATGGAGCTGCGGCATAATTTTATATGCATTACTGACAGGCTTTCTACCATTCGAGGGAGATGACACCCATCGCACACTAGAGCTGGTGAGGCGAGGAGAGTTTAAAATTCCTCCGAATATTAGTCGTGAAGCGGCGGACCTGATCATACGCATATTGGAGAAGAACCCAGACCATCGAATTAGCATGAGCGAAATATGGAGACACCCTCTGATTAGGAAGTATGAGAAGCGCTACCAAGGGGCAGTGGACTATCATATCGGCCCTGCACCGCCGCTTATGCCCGAAGACTGTGGCCCACCCATCACCAACAAGGAAGACGTCGACATCGACCTTCTGAGGAACCTGCAGACACTATGGCATGATGCAACTCCCGAAGCAATACTGAAGAGGATCTTAGACCCTACGTAAGTCAAGCCATGTCCCTGATTATGATACATGTACCGCCTGCATGGAGGATGCCGAGCGAGTGAACCTGAAGCTGATTGATCAAACAACTAGCCCGAGCCATCAACGCCTGTTTTACAATGCTTTGGTAAAATTTAGAAACGAACAGTTGGAGAATTATCAAGGACAGACTCTCGAGCACTCCGCCAGCGACTATCACCATATATCAGTGGCACCGCGTACACCGAGTCGCCGAACTCGACGTGCGAAGGGCAGCTCAGCGAAGTGGTCGCAATTTCCACCCGTGAAGGAAACAGGAATAAGGACCAAGTATAATGAAGAGCCAAAGTCCTGTGCAACGACGCGAAGCTACGACCCGTTCAGGTCTCCACAAGGAAAATACCCTCCGAGAGAAGCGAAGTGTGCGAAGATCACGGTCTACCGTAATGGGCTCATTGTCGATGTTGATAAGACCGCAAAAGAACCCACAGAAACGACTCCTCAACCGAGGGCAGCTGCAAAGAACACGGATCTCGAGGTGCCTCAGGTGCCCGAGTGTCCACCGAGCTCACCATTCGTGCTTATGCGTGATAAGCGCATGAAGGTCAATTCCGTCAAATCATTCCATTCAAAGACCTCGTTGTCTGGGTCTCGTCGGGCTCTTTATGTCGCATCAACGCCGCGTTCTGCCAGCTACAAACGTAATGTATCCTTCCACCACAAAAGGAACCGCTCGCAAGGCTCAGTACTATCCACCAAAGCGAGGCCACCGCGGCCGAAAGCCCGCAATATCAGGCTTGATGCAAGTGAAAGCACTGTGATCTCTGATTACGACGATGACCCATTTTCCGACGCACAAGAGAGCCCATCGTTGCCCGCTCAGCCCACAGTTGTGCGTGGAGCTGGTGTTACAGTCAGGAATTGCCCTCAGATGAAAAAGGTGCGAAATAGCGATATCATTTGGAAAGACGATGCGCGGAAGGTGTCCTATGAACTTAGTCAAATATGCGAGGAGGCCTTCAACGGCAGCTCACTGTCCACGAATTGCACCGCCAGCACATGCATTGGCTCCGAGACGCCTGCAACATCCTTGTCAATCGCTAGCCCTGAGGTGTCTTATCAACAGCTTGCTTCCAAAGGACACTCAACCACACGCACGGCACCCCCAGCGGCATCGTCGCCACGATCATACACGGCCGCAGAGCTTACTGAAACTCGTCGTAAACTGATCCAGCATTCAACTAAGGACGACTCAGGGAACATCCCGGGCTACTTGAAGCCGATCATTGCACACCTAGATCGTCTGATTGAGCAGGATGAAACGAAACGACGAGAGCGGCGGGATAATCCCATACCTTATCCCAGTGCGCTGAGGGAGCAATCTGTCCGGTCGTCAAGTGAAACCCCGCAGCCACCAGAAGCACCGAAACTCCCGGAAACTGCACCCAACCCTCTAATCAATGCTGGTTACAAAGCAGAAGACCAAGGGAAATCCGTGCTGCAAACTCCCCAGAAGCATCCTGGCCGCTCCAACCGCGATGGAAAGAGAACAGTTCGCATGGTGCCTCATAGTTCTCTGCAGTCGATGGGGCCTACCAAGGACTTGAACATTCGAAAGAACCGTAGTTCTATTCCCGAAGACATTCCAGAGACACCAGACGTGTGCACAACGGATGCGGAGAAAGAGCAGGCTGCAGCATCTACACGCAAGTTCGCTTCCCTGAACCCCGGCCAAGACCGGGGTCCCTGCGAACTCGACCCCATTGAAGAAACGCCAGGATCACCCAGACGTAACGGCACTCGTTCTTCGGACAACAAGAAATGGTCGTGGTTCCAGAACAGGGCTCAGATGGCAGGGGATCACACTACAAGACATTCCAGCGACGTCCCGCATATCCAACCAAGTTCAGCGACTGTGATCAGACATCATCAAGGTGACTCGAGAGAAGCGAAGGCCAACACCCAGAGAGATAGTCACTTCAATGGAAAGCCGTCGCGGACGAAGCCTAAAGGCGGATTCTTCAGAAGACTAATGAATAGACGAGCAAGCAAGGAATCTCAGAACCAGGATACAGGTTAGTTTTGTCTACCCATATAGCTAAAACAGGAAACTCATCACCAAGTACAGGCTTTGACACTGCAGAAACCAATGTCTTGCTCCACGAGAACATCGAGACTGGTAACACAACAGACACCGAATATGACGGCAAACCTCTTCCACCTCCTCCGCGCGGTGGAGGCAAGAGCCAGAACTGGTTCGCACGCGTATTCCAACTCAAGCCTGCTACTCGAGTGATAGCACTCAACACATCGACCACCAAAGCCCGGAAATACATCCATAAGACAATGCGTGAGTGGAGGATATGGGGTATGGAGGAGGTTTACCTTGACAAGGACAAACGAGTCATCTTCGGAAGCGTGGGTGAAGTCAACTGTACGTCTCCAGACCACACGGATCAGATCATCATGAAAGAAGTCCAACTAACCCATTGATTTGCAGTGCTAAATCTTCGACCGGTCCAATTCTCAGCTGAGTTCTGCACATACCTAGAACAAGGTCGACAGGAGAACCTCAGCCTCGTCCGCTTCAAGCAAGAGCGGGGAGCAGCATCGTCCTTCCACAAGGTGGTCGACACACTCTATCTCCTCATGAAGGGCCAGCACATGCTCATGGAAGATCCTGCGCGAGCAAAAGAGATGGTTCGAATTCTGGACGACTACCCGAACCCTTGAAGATCAGATAATCCCTACCCACCCTTTTGATTCCTATCCCCATACTACTCCCCTAAACTGTTTCTGGACTATCATGACCATCTGGATGGACTTTGCAAGCCTTCTACCACCAACCTATCTACCAGGCCCCTTCAAATATTACTGCATATACCCTCAACAAATCTCTTTCCGGACTTCATGTTCATAATCTCTATCTCCCCAACCCTCTTGACCTCCTCAGGTTCCATTCCCAACCAATTGTCTACCAGACAAAAACACTCGCTTGATCTTCAACTTCTCCTTATCTGTCTAACACTTTCTCACTTCTGTCACTCTTTCTGAAACATTTCCTTCCTTCGTGATCTTCATTTCCATTCCATAGTTTGTATTCTACTCCAGCGTGTATTGTCCCATGTCCTATCGTGTCTCCAGTCAATTAATTGATTGAACTTTGAAGCCAAAACAAATCGAATTAAAGTCTCTTTAGACACCAACGCTCGCTAGTCAATTCCCTAGGGACCTACCCTAAATCCCTAACTCGTCCAACAATCCTTCCTCAAAAACAAAATCACACAATTTCTCTATTTGTTATATGCCAGCCAGCCAGCCAGCGAGCTATCTGCCAGTAATTTGTATACATACCTGCTTTTAGCACTATTAGCACTAATAATTACAGCTTAGTTCAATAATTTTTACTCCAAGGCCTGTATGTAGAGCTTAACCTGCTTCTTTTGGACTACATTCTCCCCAGCTTCGAGGATAGTTGGGGACTGTTTCTGTGAGAGGGCTATTGGAGGTAAATAGTAGCTCGCTATGTACGATACTACTATTATGGGTGAGGGCAGATGATGGACGGATGCTGTGCTTTTTCGGTCGTCTATGTAGTCATCCAGGTTTGGGAAATCAACTAATATAGCAAGGAATGCTGGTTCCAGGCAATACTGGTGGTTAGATTACAATACAGGATCATGGATAATCGATTGCCTAAACTGGCAAGCCAAGAGCCGAGTCCTACTTACAATGGCCTATATGGAAGGAAAGATACATAATACACAAGATACGTAGGTGTTTGATACTGGACTATATGAGGTAGGTAACGCGGGAAAACGACGAATAATATGCACAAATCAAAATAGGCACCAAAAACAATTCGCATGTAACAGAACGCATGGTGATTGCAAGTTGTAAAAGTTGATCAGACAGCCTCCCAAGTATAATACGAATAAAGCAGAACATCAAAATTTGAAACCAGAATGACCTCCTTTTTCGCGAATGATGGCAAAGTACCGTCCCAAAACAAGCCGTTTCAGAGCAGACAACAAAACTCGGAAACAAGAGCATGAACGCAGGACAGATAGCCTCCCGAAAGTAGTGAAACACATGGAAAAGACAAAGCCACCGCCAATAAAATTTAAGAAAGAAAGCCTCATCACACATCTTGTTCGGAAGAAATGGAAATGCAGCAGATATTCGCACCAATGATTCGATTCATGATGGCTAACGCAAAGATAGACATTGCCGACAGATGGAGCGTCCGATCAAAGCTCGTCATCCAGGTAATCCCAGCATAACCGCCTGTTTCCAAGATGCGGTCACTGATCGAAGGACGCAGAGTGTGATTTCACTTTGCTTGACAATTCTGGGAGCTTCGAACTGGACCTGGTAGTGAAAACGAACGGAAAGACCAACAAGAAAAACGAAATTAGTAGGTCGCCCTAAGTAGTTTATAGCCAGTGACAGTGTCTTCGGAAAGGGAAAAGTTGTAGATGATGAAAAGAACAGAGTGCGATATGATGACTGTCAAGGCACTGTAGCTGCCGATTGAGCGCTGCAACATCGACATCCACATGCGCAGATGACCGTATAGAATAGTCAACAAGACAGACACCCTCGCACTTGAATCGTGCAGCTCGTAACTCTCTTGCGTCTCGTTTCCATGACCTCGTAGCTGAAAAAAAAAAATTCCATTTTTGCCTCCTCTCCTTTTCGATTGTTTTTATATCCTGATTTCCTTGGACCTCTATTCACTCAAGGCATTGCGTTGCGCTTCAACAGTCGGCGTGATTTAAAAAGGTGTGATCTCCGTCCAGGCATTGCACATGAATTCGTTGTCCTCGCTTCCTCTTGCTCTTTCGTACCCCAATGAACGTGCGGCAATGGCTGCAAAACGAGCAGCATGGGATGAATATTACCACGACTATCACATGGACGTGTGACCAGCACACAAGCTTTGCGCGTCAGCCATCGACGAACTTGGACGTGCCTCCTTCCGCTGCATTTCCATAATCTTTCGAACTCGTACCCGTCAAACCACCCTAATCCCCATCATAGCCAACCTGTTGGCTGGATGTCATGTCGGCATAGTTGCAGCACTATTGGCCTAGGCCCCGACGGTTCAATGCATTGAGCATGTCACTATCAGTGCTAGAGCGGCCTTGGCCCTGATTCTGACCTTCTCCAGGATTCAACATGTCTCGCACATTCAATCCGCCGCGAGAGGAGCCCCCGGGGGTGGAAGTGGGGGGAGGAGTCTGGTTGGGGTTCACAGGAGGATACGGAGAGCTGTGAGGAGACGAGGAATGGCGACCATCATAGGTATAAGGCGATTGCGGAGAGGTACGTCGCTCATGTTGAGGCGGCGGCGGATAGTATGGACTCGTCGCACTATACGTCTGATAGCCAGATGCAGATGTAGCGGGTGTCACCGGGGCGAGATTGGTGGGATCAGGGTATTCAAATCCCGAGCCTGATCCTCGACGACCAACAGGCCTCTATAAAAGAAATTAGTACCCAGAGAAACAATTGGATCGCAATAAGAAGCTCGTGCTACTCACATGATCCTGAGCTCCATTGGGGAGAGGAGGAGCGTTCGCGTATTGAGGGGGGTACACCGATGGAAGTGTACTCTCCGGTTGCTGCTGTGGTGGGAGAGGCTGGCCATGAGCACCATAGAGCATCACTCCTCCGGGAGGCGGTCCGCGGCCTTGGTTCTGGGCATTCCGTAGGTGGGGGTAGGCGGCATGGGCAGGGACAAAGGCTTGCGCCTGGGATGAGACTGGCGTGAACATGCACTCCTGGTTGAATCGGATGCAGTTGCTGCAGCGTCCATCCTGAGAGCTTTCAAATCCCGAGCAACGGATCTATTGATTCCAAAAAAAAGGTCAGTTCTGACCGAGTATAATACGGGCCTGCCATAAAGGGAGCCATTTGACAAAACGTACCTTCCGTCTCCGGCAGTAGCGACACGCGATGGCAGTCCGCTGACGGGGGGCAGCAGCTTGATAGACTACTTGAGGCGGAGGGGGTGCGCTGTACATGTCTGGGGGGCGGTAGGAGCCGGGAGGGGGCGCCATGCGGTAGGGGTCCTGCGACTGAGGGGGAATAGTTGCCATGTTCGGCGGCGGCGGATACTGTCCAGGTGCAGGCGGGTATTGGTGATCTGGTGGTGGATAGGAAGCTGGGGGGTATGAAGCTGGTGGAGGGTACGAGGCTGGAGGATACTAATGGGGTGAAGAGAGCATTAAGGTTAGCCAATGCACCGTTTAACACTCGAGTCAGAGCCGCATCGCAGACCAGCGGAGATCGAGGTCAAATGAGGAATAATTGAAAACAAAAGATATGATTGATGCATATATGCGACAATGTGAGATGAAGGCAGAGGGCAACATACAGGATACTGTGAGGTTGGCGGATAGTGAGGAGGTTGTTGACCATCACCAGGCTGCTCAGGTTGACTAGTGTTCCATTGCGGTGGAGGCGGATACTGTCCCGGCCGATTAGGATCGTTGAAATCGTTGGGATTGCGGTACGGGCCCTGCCGGTTCGGGTCGTTGTGGTCGTTGGGATTGCCGGACATTGGTAGAGCGAGCGTGCCGGAGAAGCTGATTTATAAAAGGAAAAGGAAAAGGAAAAAGGAAAGAGGAAAAAGAAAAGACGGGAACGGGCGACGGAGAGAAGCCAGAGAACAGATGCAGGATGATGTGAGGTGAAAGTCACGGTCCCGCGGGTCGTTCAGGCGAAAAGGTAGGCAGGGATGGTGGAAATGGTAAGGTTCCTTGGAGAGCGCGGGCCGCACGGGCAAAGCGTATGTATGTATGATGCTGTCTGACTGTCTGACTGTATGTATGCTCGTATGTATGGCTCAAGGAATGGACGGTCGTATGTATGTAAGCAGTATGTAAGTACGTAAAGTATGTACGGAGGCGAAAGGTGTCGGTGTAAGGCGACCAGGTTGTGTCGATGCGGAGTCAAAGCCGGTCAGAAAGTCGACCAATTCAAGTACAATTCCAGCTCCCGTCGGGTGATTTTCGAAGCTAGCATAGCCTCGTGGTCACGCTTAAGCCAGAATGGGGGAGGCAGAAGAGCCAGATGAGGGGGGAAAAGAGTAAAAAGCAGGAAAGGGAGTGATTGGAGTTGAGAAGGCGAAATAAAAAAGAGGGAAAGAAAACCAAAAAGAGGTTCTAATCCGCAGATGGAAGAAGCCGAGGAATGAGATGAGCGCGGATAGGTGAGGGAGGGAAGGAAAAAAAGACCAGGGGGCAAGAGGGAGGCGGTGGAGGGAAGGAAGACGATAAAGAGGTCGAGGTGGTCAAATTTAGCAAGGGTCAGGGAAGGATGGTAAGGAGGGGGTGGGAAGGTAAGGGAAAATATAGAAGGGAAATAAAGGGACAAAGAGGAAAAGCGAAGGCGTAAAAAATAAAATAAGGGCCAGAAAAATAAAATAAAATAAAAATTGAGAAAATAATAAAAAATGGGGGAAGAGAAATTCTTTTTTTTTTTACTTTCTTTTTTTCTTTTTGATTATTTTTTCTTTTTCGGGTTTTTCGAAAAAAGAAAATAGAAAAGGGAAGAAAACGAGAGCCTCGGGGATTTCAGTTATGACGTGAGCGTTGAGCACTGAGGGGCTCCAATGATGATGGCCCGTAATATCAGCCAAAATGAACAGGCTGGGCTGGTAAATTGCAATAGATATAAAGTTGGAAAACTCGCGAATCAATTCAGAAGACACTTAAAACGCAGCCAAAGTATCTTGAGGCGCAATGGAAGATCTGGGTAGCAAAAACGGGAGTCCAAGACTTGAACAAATCGCAAGATAGAGCGTATGGTAGATACCGCAGCCCAGAGGAAGGGGAATAGAGAGCTTATGAAGGGCTCTCTCTTTATAACCGAGAAGGTGATACTAGTCTGTTATAAGAATGGTGGTGGTTGTCAGCAAAGCAAGACGCAATAGCGTCTCCAATGCCTGGCAGTAGCGCAATGCAACTGCTAGTAATGATCAGACACCAAAGAAACCGAAGCTGCGAGGAGAACAGGGTCGGGCCTGTTGACCCATGGCTGTAGTGAAAATGCTGCGGTTTCCGAAGATGCAAACTGACTATCTGTGGGAGGGCGTGCACACACCTGTCTGCCATTTTACCCCTTCGTACCCTTCTCTTTCCTCAATTATTGCCTAATGTAAAGACAGAAAAAGGAAAGAAAGGGAATTAATGAGCCCACGTAGATCTTGATGCCTAGGATTCTTAGGCAAACATGATTTCTGCAGGAAATAAAAAGCAATGCGATGACAGGGAAGCCATATCTTCGATATTGGGAACAGGTGCATATGGCACAGGTTGAACCTTTCCCAGATAGTCCAGGAAATACGGGGATACTGCATGATACTTCACTATCTATGCGAATCAAAAGACCAAGAAAGTTGAAGAGACTTGAGTACTAAAAAGCTAAGACCTAACATAGTACGGAAAACTGCCAAAGTGAAGAGACTGGTCGATGTATACACATGAATGGATTGAGAACAGATGCCCCCATACTGTTTACTGAGCTCTAGGTAATAGTAGGAATCTAGTGAAATGAAAGGACGAAGTCGGAAAAGGCAATGTTCTTTTTGGGACACTCTAGCAGACCCAGACTTTATAACCCATTGTCTAGTTTATCTCTGTTTTTCATTTTGTAATTTCACGAACGACCTTTAGCAATGACTCAGTTGAGGCGCTTTTCTTCTGAACTAATTCCCACTTGCGCTGGCTGAAAACAAATAGAATGATTGACTAACTGCAACGGCTCTATCCGATCACCCAAAAAGGACTTCCCAGTGCGACGGGAAGAGACCAAAATGGACTCTTTCTGGGTCGCCGAGTCCGCCGGTCCGTCCGGGAGGCGAAAAGGAAAACGGTTGGATCAAGCGCGTCAAAAACGACACGAGACGCAGGGTACGAGTCCCACGGCTGGCGGAAGCGGAAAGGCGGGAAGATTCGCGATGGGGACTTCCAAAGAATACAACAGGTGGTTATTTGGGTCGACTGGGTCCCTGGATACGATGCGGGTATGAGGAGCGAGGAATCATGGCGCGCCTACTACTTTTCATACCCGTTCTAGCTACGCGCGACTCTGGTACGTATTAATCAAGACAAGAAAGCGGAGGCGATCTAGTATCATGGTGTCCTCAACCAGTCTCCATGATGGATACTATCATTGGTTCTGCTGGAGATAATCACCACGCGGGCAATTAATTTGTCGTGGGTGCTAGAATCACCATGGAACCCAGGCTCCGTCGTCGGGCAAATGAATACTAGTAGTAGTACCAGACGGTTTGGGAAGGGTAATTGGTCGATCCACCATTTCGAGAAGAGAGGGGGGGGAACGATACTATGGGTGGTACTGTATCTTCTATTGTCTCAATATTTACTGAGATAGAACGATTAAGACAGAATGTGTGGACCATCTTCAGCAAAATAAAAAGCTGTGAAATTTCAGTATGTTCTGGTGTAGTATTGCTGACTCGACGAGAGGATGTGGTGGGTGTAAAAAAAAATAAAGGCAGGGGGAAGAAAAAGAAAGAGGTGTGAGAGAAGAGGGAAAAAAAAATAAAATAAAAACACATGTGGAAGGATGGAGTAGCGGTCATGGAAAGGAATAGCGTAGAAGAACGGTCCGCAGACCAGGTGGACCCTGTCCAACGCGCCAGCGACCCATAGACATGGACGGGGACTCACCTAAGACGCAGCTAAAGTATTCACGGTTCCATGGGGATCAGCTGAATCGCTGTAAGGCCCTCGGGTTGGGCGTTTGGCAGGCCCCGGCGACCGCACAAACAGCCACTCCTGTTGCGTCTAGAGCCTGAAGAGGGGCGTAAGTTTGCCAGAAGGCGCAAGTGACGACTGATGACGGAGGGAGGGTACGCCGGGACGGGTAAAGGCGCCGTGACGGAACTCCACCGACCGCTTCAAGTCCTTCCGTCTCCAGTTTGGGGGCTTAGTCGCGTTTTCTACTTATTACGGTGTCCTATTTTTCTTTTCACTGGCTTTTTTTTTTTTTCTTTTAATTCTCATTTTTCTCATCTCCCTCTATTGTTATTTCTTTTCTGCTTCTTTCCCTTTGCGAATATTATCTTTTCATTCTTCTTATTTTTATTGTGGTGTCCTGCTCCTATCCCTTTGGGTATTTTGACATTATACACGGTAATAGTGTTTGTCCCCCTTTGGGCGGGCATTGAAACACCGTTGCGGATTGTAATTCACATGACCACTTTGCCATGGCTGAATGGGCGTTGAAACTATCCCAGTTACAGCATTTGTGCCGGGTCTTTGTGCTTTTGGACTGGTACCAAGATAGGAACTGACTGCAGTAGTCACTACTACTACGTACTACGTACTACGTACACTAGGTAAGTACTCCATACATACAGCTGGCAGTACTCCGCCCGTTTCAAACATACGGAAAAATACCAGTGTATACCCAGTACTAGCACCAAGCAGTCTAAAGTCGGCCACAACACATATGCGAAGCAGCGCACTACTTACTCGAAAATATCGGAGGTGCTAGGCATCGTTTCCATTAGCCAATGCATCTCCAAGGCGCCAGTTCAAACTGGCTCAGAACAAGGCCACACGCCACGTCGAATATTTGCCAACAAGGACAGAATCATCCTTACTAAGGTTCCAGTAAGAAATAGTGCTTACTCGAATCTCCACGGGCAACAATCAGTACTAGTAATGCTGGAGCATGTACCATAGAGAATTAGGTATTATGATAACCACTGCTTGGATAATGCTGCTACATGCATACTGGCTCACTACGCCGAGCTACTTTGCACTTCCAGCATTATTCCACCCTCAAATAAGTTCAATGATCCAGGCTGAGTTCGGGGAAGGGACATCCTGGCTCCACCCGGGTAAAGCCCGAAGCCCCGAACTTTTAAAGAAAGAGGGGCTGACGGCCCGTGGATGGCAAAAGCTCTGTCGGAACCCTACTAAATACTGCACATCACTAGTTCTTCTTCAATATGGTTGCAGAATATGAATAATCATCGGCAGTACTACTGCCGACCTTGCTGCTGCATACATACTCGACAACACAGCGGCCCACAAACAACTTCGTCCTGGTCACACTGCTTTGATTTGCTTGATTTACAGAAGGGAACGGCAACGCACATGCACAGGCAACAATCAGAAGACTAGGAAACAAAATAAATAAAATATTCTTCTAGGGAAGGAATGGAAAGGAAGTGTGGGAATCCAGCCTTAATGTCCCACTTTCCTCATGCTGTGTTCCTTTGTCCCGGAGTACTTTTTTTCTTCTCTCAACGAAGTTGGTTCGCTCTGTTTGGGGAGAAAAAAAAACCAACAGCTCTCAACACATTCACTTCCTTTTCTCCGTTTACCAATTATTCGATGGGAACTTATTAGGAAGGTGGTTTTACCTCCGATTTGGTATTTCTTCTCAATTCCCAGAGCTCCGGTACGAAGGGGGCCGGGCAATATTGAACCATGGTTGCTTGCCACTTAGTGTACCACAAATCGGGGCCTCGGGAGCAATGCATCGTGGCTTTCTTACCAAGCAGACAGTGTCTCGAACCAGCCCACTCATTTCATCCTCAACGCATCCTCAAAGAATGATTATTGGGATTGTCGGGGCCTTGTTTGCCGGTACCTGGGCACTCCTTACATACATACCATGATCCGATGACCGGAGGGGGGGATAGTGGGTGAAACTGCAGAAGAAGAAAAGGACGCTTTCGCAGACAAAGGAGGGGTGGGGAAGGGAACACGCCAAAGCTGGTCATCAGCTGCAACCAGCCTAGAAGGTAAGTAGGTACTTTGCAGCTAACTAAAGTTGTTGTCAATTTTTTAATGATACATACCTGCCCGCCTTTGCTGCATCGCGCATGCGAGGAACAGCCACTAACTACCCTTACTGCACAGCTTGGCTGCATCCTCTTCAGGCTCTCGTTTGCCTGCTGAAAGAAAAAGAAATGAAAAATTGCTGATAAGACGCTACTGTATGGTCGTTGTATGACGATACAAGGTACATACGAAGGTAGTATAATATACTACTTACATACAACAAGGTGCGCCCCGGGCCTCTGCCGAACAGAAAGGCAGGATATGTATGCTTCGCAGTAGTGCCCGCGTGCATGCAGCGGCTGCCTTGTTGTGGTCAGGGCTCTATCCAACACACATCCCTGTGGCCAAACTGGCATCATTTGATTGGGGTAGCACGACTGGGAACTCCCTCCAACCTGGCTCCCAAACAAGCAAACATCTGCACCATCTCAATTCTTCACGATCTTGTTTCTATTATGACTCGTCATCAGCGGGAGCCTGCATCTTTCAGAGCTAATCGTTATGACAGACTAGCAGAAGGAAGAAAGAGAAAAAAAAACAAATAAATGCACAATCACGGGAAATAGAATAATAATAAAAATACTAAACTGACCAGCTCTCACACACCATACGCACGAGTCACCTGTCGGTTTACTACTATCTCCCTGGTTCAACCCTCGGCCCTTCTGATCAATGAGGGGTTGGCTACCTCTACTACCCATGGCCCCCAATACCCAGGATCCCTTGCATCCTCCAACCATACCTGGGGCATGTTTCGAACGGTACGGTCCAACCCGTCCGCAAGGGCTATCAGCAATAGATGCAGCTCAGATATGCAGCCTGAGACTTGACTTGGAGAGAATTGAACGGGATCAAGGCATCAGGCATATCGCGTGGACCACCCATCCCACCGTTTGTTACCCAGGTTCCCCTCGTTTCTCTCCCTCCCTCGCCTCGGGGTTGATTGCATGCGTGCATGCATGCATGAATGATCAAACGAAAACCCAAGAGGGATGGTACCTGAGGTTGCAAGGAACCAATAACATACACGTACATGGTTCCAGGCCCCATAATTCCAAGTTACCTCAGGCATGTTAGATACGTAGTAGAAATGGATGAGGGGGGTGGGCGGGCGCCCGGACCGGGACATGCGAGATACTCCCGCGCGCGGCGGATGTACCGTCCCATTGCCCCGAAAGGGGGTAAGGACCACCATGGATGGAAACTCTCTTTCTTCACTGCTTTGAAGAAAGAAAGAAATTAAAAAATTGCGATGTTCAACCAATGGCGAAATTTGCCCTGACCATTTAGAAATACGATTGGGTCACGGATCCTCGAAAATCCTGATGATGGTGGTATGGGGACGTTTTTAAGTGTGACCATCATCATCATCACCATATCACTAGGTATCGCCATATTAAAATGTTGCAACGCTACCTACTTACTACTCCCATGTTCATATGTAGTAGTACTACTAGCCTTAGTAGCTTAGTCTCCGTAGATACTCCGTAGATACTCCAGATTTAAATCTTGCGCGGAAAGGGATACCGTAGTATGTGTGCCTTCCTTGAAACCAAAACCACTGCCATGGATTCCCTTCTATCTATCTTGAACGAACCTGACACACAAAGAAAATAGATTCGCTGGGTATACGGTCCGAGGCGCGGGGTTAGTATCCATGATTCATCCATACCTGAAGTTCTTTCATATCAAGTATTTCTCTACAATACGATACGCAAACAAAAGAAGAGATTTGAATGCAAAATCATTATCCATAGAATAAAATAAAGTCGAATAAATTGAATATGAGGGGTTTGTGTGGATTGAGTTAGACTAGACTAGACTAAAAGAAAGAAAAGAGAAGAAGAAAAGAAGCCACACACAGAGGCAAACTTCCATAACAGAAAACCCCACTACGTACTACGTTAAATCGTTAATATTACCTGGTTACCCGAATGTAGTAGTCAAGTCAGACTACCTATACTACTTACTGAACTAACTACGTACTAAATAGACTACTACTCACCTACTCGATTTGCTCAGATTTGTACGTAAGCCATGGGGTAACGGTGTTTGGGGGCCAAAAAAAAAATAGTAGTAGAAATAATTTTCTGCTGTCTGGACGAATGATAAAAAGACACACAGGCTAGATCGCATACCATTTGTTCTGAAAGGAAGAGAAAAAAAAATAATTAAAAAGTGGAAAGTTGATCCAAGTGGAGAGAAAGGAGAGAGGAGAAAGTAAGAAAGAGAGGGCGAAAGAGAGAATCCATTACTCGACTAAAGAATGTCCCCGCAAAAAGCAGCTCGTTTTTACGAGTGGGAACGGAGGTGGGCACGGAGTGATGCAAGTCAGTCCCAAAGGTTAAGCGACAGCCGCGGCGCTATCCCATTGGCGTAGGAGAAGCCCTTGAGTTACCGACGCCTCGATTGTGGTTGGGTCCAGCAGGGAAAGGAGCGCTCCGAACCGTAGTCGCACGGCAGCTGATTGGCACACGGCGCGGGGACCATGCACCAAATCCCGGTGAATTTAGGTTCCCTTTTCTTCTCTTGTCGGTTCATGGTTCAGCGGTAACGCACTACTTAGTAGTACTTACTACCCAGTGGTTGGGTCGCTCGGAGGATGTTCGGTTCCGGCGATAAATACCTTGAGTTACCGTGCGGTGAGCGGCATGTGTACCGGGGCTCGAATTGCGCTGCTGATACGGAGGCGCTTTGCTCGCATTTCATTGGGTCGGCGGGGCCGCCAACTGTGTCCTTTCCATGGATCAGACCTTCTACTGGAGCTCATACGAAGGGGCATCGAAGGTCCCGGCCACATGGGATGATGGAGCAAAAATAATTAAAGTGGCGATGGGAAAGTTGTCCTCGCGCTTGTGAGAGAGATAGAGTGGGTTCGACATCCTCTCTCTCATTCTCTTGTCTCAAGGTGTGTGCCCACCTAACCACCCACCATCCTCCGTCCTGTGGAAAGAAGTGGAGGTCACTATACACGGGCGGAATGGCAGAGGGGATCCATTAGGCGGTGAGCCTGGTTACCGGGATTACCGTCACGTCTTGAACAGATTAGTGGCAAGCAGGGCGCTTCCACTTAGGCATGATTACAGACACTGTATCCGAGGGCTGGTAACAGTGGTGTGCGGCTCCAGTGGTCATAGTGGGTATGAACGCTCCGAGCACGACACTGTGCTGAGCTGAAAACAGATGAAAGACCTGACTGGCAAGCTGATACCAAACCTAAGAGGTTGCACCGACATGATAGGCTCGGTCCGCGCTTGCCCACCTGCCGCTTCAGGCATCTAATCGGTGGGTATTGTGGCGGTGTCGAGCACGACGATGAGATAAATTTTGAGTTAGGAAAGCCCGAAAAGAGGTTGCAGAATGCTTGTGCGTGTTCCTGTGCTTTGACAAATCAGGCTGACACTCACTCACTAGTTATCAAAATTGTGTGTGTGTGTGTGTCTCTGGATCAAGTCGCACGTATGATGTGTAAGACCATCCTTCCGCGTTGGCCCTGTGACAAAGGATGGCGCTTAGATACTTAGTATGAGCGAGCGGCGCCCCCTAGCATCAATTAGTTGATGAAGGGAAGGGCCGTGAGAGACACACTTATAGTGGGGAGTTCTAAGTTTCCCAGTGCTACAGCCTTGGGACGGCGCCAGACGGGCATGACCATGGCCCGATCGGTAGCGATTGAAAATAACTTGCATTAGCGTCACCCGGTTTAATTTCTGTCGAGCGGGAAACGGCCATGGGTATTTGGGGAGTGGTAGTTAGTTACGGGATGGATAGTAAGTAGTCAGCCACAACGTTTTTTATTTTTTTATTTTATTTTCTTCGGAGAGATAGCACCCGTGTCCCGGAGCCTGGGATTCGAGTATGTGTGTGTGTGTGTGTGTGTGTGTGTGTGTGTGTGTGTGTGGACTGTGGACTGTGGAAGTGCATGTTTGTGCGGGGTCTGGTGACATATCCAAGATTCAATGAAGTTATGAAAATGGGGCCGGCCGAGATCCTTGTTTTATGTCGCAATGGCCGAAATGTTCCTTTTTTTTCTTGAGGGGAAAGAGATTCCAACCCGGTGAATCTGACAGACAGGCAGACACGGATGCACCCACTGGGCACATGGGAGCGGCAAGGGAGCTAGTCTCTAGCCCTTCATGGGTAGGTGCTTAGTGGAAGTTAGAAGACGTGGCTGGCAACGACGATTCGCTGTGGAGGCAGAGTCATCACCGCTCTCATCCGTAACAAGTCCAAGCATCTGCAACCTAATCACACTGAGATAGCACGGCCAAGTGCGAACCCCTTTGTGTTCCCACCCTCCATCATCTGTTGAGTCCATCATTGATTGATTATCTCTCACGTAGGAGGTCGGGGATTGGGTGCAATAGTCGTCAACGTAGACGGAGGGAACAGTAGCATGACATCAGTCGACGGTATCGTGTGACAGCAGTAACTTCCGTTTTGGGGGAGTGCTGAAAAGAACAACATTCCCATTTGAACAATGTTTCTTTTATCATTGGCAATTCTTTTCTATATTTTTTTCTTCTTACTTTGTTTTTTTATTATTATTATTATTTTTATTATTTCTATCTTATTTTGTCTTTGGTGGTCGTCATCACTCTCATCGTGTCATAGTAGTGAACCTTTAATCTATTTCACTCCCGTAACTTGTCCACTTAGCCTGTATTTTGTGGCTGCAAGCCGTTAGGTTATTAGCTAGTACTTTCTGAGGGTACACCCTCCTTCGACTCCGACATGTGTCGATACGAAAATCATTTTATCCAGTAATTGAACATGAGCCATTATGGAGTAAAAAAAAAAAAAAAAAAAAAAAAAAAAACGAAACCGTAAAATAATAGAAGAAGTAATTTGACCCTCGAGCGCACAATAATTCTCAATTTGACCAGAACAAGGCGTCAGCAGAACAAGATTGTCGGAATTGCACGGTCGCAAACGGAGCCGAGGATTGGTGCTGTGACCCGGATGCAGAGGCGCTTGTGTCAGGGCGTTGGGCAACCGGCCCCCCTATCATCGTCGCCCTGCTAGTCATTCTCCTGGTCATGTCCACGACGGGCCGCCCCGACTCCCGCCGATCTTATGCAGGAAGTGTAGTGTGTGAGAGCGAAAGTGTGTGTGTCTCTGTGGGAGTGTCTGAGAGTTGCGAGGACCATGCTATCCAAGTCATCATCCTCTTTCCTCATCCGGAATCCACCACATATGACGGTCACTACTGAATGAAGATGAAAAGATAATTAATGTCAGCAAAACTGTCTCATCTCTGTCAATGCGCTTGGTCGGGCCAAATGAATGACACTCGAGCCCTTCCTTCCATTTCCTGCTTCGTAACACCCTCCAGCCTCAATGGCCCCCTCGCACCTTCCAATCCCTAAGCTCCCCTCCTCTCCTTGTTCCCCTTCAGTCTCCCCTCCTTCACCTTCTAGATCCACACTCCGTCGCTGTTTATCTCGGTCAACTACTATCAGTGACTTGCAGGATCCGATGCGTTTGGTTTTCGCGGCCTTGACCTACAGCGAAGAAAATCATCATCCATTGCTTCTTGAACAGGATAGATAAGAGCTCGCATCTTGCACACGCCCCAATGGCTGGAGGAAGCCCAGGTAAGGTGCTCCCACATCAGCACACCGTACAAGGTCCATGCACCTCGCTCATATCATGTAAGTAGATTAAGGATGCTGCAACAAGCCAGAAAAATTGCGCTTTCCCGCTTGCTGTTCCACATGTTGAACTGTCAGAGCCCAGCCCAGTCCAGCCAGCCAGCCAGCCTCACTTTTTCGCCCATACAACACACATAATATGTGCTTCCTCCTAAGGGCCCAAATAAATGGAGATGGTTTTTGGCTTGGGGGCCTGAGTGTGGTGGTATCTTTTGCTTTGGTACCATACAAGCGGGAACGGAAATGAAAACAGAAACCGAAACCAAACCGGCGGCCGGAAACGCGGTAATACTATAACCGGTAATAACGCGGCGTTACGACGGTCGCAATTGAGGGCGCGCCATTATTCCGTTTCCTCATTAGCTCATTGCCTTCCCTTTTTGGTGCGTTGCCCTTTTCTCTCCTTCGTCCATTAGTCTCCCTTGCCACGTTTTTTTCGACCCTCAGCGGCCCCGTGCATTGGCGTCCGCGTCTTTCCGTTGCCGCCAGAACCCACCATCACCTGCGTGGTGGGCTTTTCTTTCCTGGTTGTCGTTGTCTCCGGTATCTCCAGGATCCTTCTCCACCGTGACCAACGCCGATTCTTCTTGGCCGTCAGCAAAGTCCATGGTTCTATGGTGGCTGGTGATCTTTGGGCGCAGGGGTTCGAGGAAGTACTTCCGCGGCCCAACTTGGGGCATCCAGTCATCATGCGTCATCATCGTGATGATGCTTGGATGTTTGTCCACCGTGAGAGGCAACATTGAGAATTCAGGAGACTGGCACTAAGCACCTGTGAGGTGCTACTGCAGGAGGCACTAGGAACCAAGGTACTAGTCCTACGTAGGTGAGTAAGGTACCTTACTCCTCTTCAAGTCTCCTAGGGCATAAGCACGGAAGCTCTGGGGCAATTGGCCAGGCCGGAGAGCCGCGTTTGTCGGTAGGAAGGCGGTCTGGAATCCTTCCACTTGGGAACTAACTAATCATCGTTTGGACCTGAACAGTATTAGTTTACCGCCGGCAACGGGAAGAGCAAGACGGTAAGCTCGCCATGCTAGCTGGGATCATCGATCAGCCCGCATACGGCTACGATCATGTGATAACAAGGGGGCCTATGAGCAGGCGCCCTGGGTCAGCCCATTACAATATCCTCGCCCGTTTTGGGGCTGGCGTGGATGTCGGAAACTGTCGGTAATGCATCCATGGCGGGATGTCAGAGCGACTGGCCTAGGGTGATGGTTCAGTGGATTGGCCCTAAAGGAAGAAGGGGGCAGAGAACCAGGTTCACCTCCTGGGCCTGTCTGTGCTCGCTCGGGTAGAAAGTGTGTGTGGGCAAGTGTGAGCGATCTTCCTCACATTATGACGTGGCGAAACGAGGAGACAAACAACTCCAGATGGCCCTGCCAGGCTGCCCTGCCCTTCCTCCCAGCCGGAACTCGATCCAAGGGGAGAGATCTGGGCTTCAGCGCCACGAAGTCGTACCAGAATCTCCCCTTCTGTGCCTTACATTCTCAGTTCTGAATTATTTCGGTTCGGGTCGGTTCGAATCGCGCATCTGACCCCCTGCACATGGGAACATCTTGTGATAAAGAGCCCGGCAATCCAAGTGTGACAACCTGTACGAGGACTCTGGGTGGTACACTTACACTCCCCGTCCAGGCGTTTCGTCGCGTGACGATGGGATGGGAGGTTAGGCTCGGAAAGAAGAGTTTGGTGACGATGCCTGATCTGGTAGGGATGGCTTGTAACCACTCTACTCGCTAACGCGCCTTTCTCTACCCTCTTGGGCCCTAAACCGTCAGGGTGGCAAAACCGAAGCAGATGCACACAGGCCACACAACCCTCGAGATCCCCGCTCGCAGAAATAAACGATCAGGTTCCCCTACATACTACTTCAGTTTCTAGTGCTCACAGCCACGGGCGACGCGGGCAATTTTCACTTCATACTATCCTAACTTAAATCTAGTGTCCCACCGCGTTGCTAGCTGGACAAAAAAACGCGACGGGGAATATACTGAACATATAATACTAACCGATAGTCAGCTGGTGCTGGAATTGCTCAATCCTTCATCCATAGTCCTGCTTGCCGGATCGACTGGAAGGATACTTGGGGACAGCCCTCTGGGGGGTGGGCTCTCGTAACCAGCAACCAAGGATCTACGGCAAAGCACCCGACGACACATCACATTGCTGATTTTTGCTCCTAGTAACTTAATCTCCGGGCGCGGTCATCAGCCGCAGTCAACCAACCATGATTAACAGCAGGAGTGTACCCTCTACCTTCGGCCGGTTGTATGCAAGGGTGGAACAATGGCAGGCGGTACTCCTTGTTTCCACCATCTTCTTCCCTCGTCTTTCATCCTAAAGGAGGGGGGTAGGATTGCATCGAAGCAGACCCAAGTTCACGTCGTATGAATAGGAGCCCAGCGACACCAGCAGCGCGCTATCTAGATTAGGATGTAAATCTTCGAAAAAAGCAAACATGCGTCTAGGCCGTCAAGCTCGCTGCACGATTTTTAGGGAAACCAAAGTACGAAGTATATTTCCTCTTTGTTAATGACATGGTCCTATTCCCTACCAACCACTCCTACAACCTTCTTGAACGGTTTCTACAAACCGAAACTCATTGCCGTGTCTAGTATTTCTACCAGTGACAGGAAAGGATAGTACACAGCCAGCCAACCAGTCAGCCAACCCAGAGTAACCAACTACAGCGACATCGTGTTCAGGAAACGAGTTCCGTATCTGAATCAATAAGAGCAAAGCTTTGCCAGTCGACTACTAGTATTACTCTTCAGCTCGAATTGGGGACCCGTATTATTGAGTTGCGCCATCGACTCTTTGTTTGGCTCCAATTACCGAAACCGGTATGACGTTTATTATTCCATTCCCGCGTACTCGAATTTGAGGAGTATTTTATTGTACTTATTTTCAATTCAGGTATGTGTCTTTCTTTCTTTGTTTCTTTCTTTCCTTCTCGTCACCCTCTTCCTCTGTGTGCCTAACTAGCTTAAGATAGAGAGAGGAGTTGGGGGTGGTGGGACTTGGTGTACACCTCTGTGCCCGAGGAGGATGGAGAGGGGAGAGGAGAGGGGCTGCAATCACGGTAATGCCGAAAAAGTTGGGAATATCTAGTCTCGATTGGAGAAATGAAGAGGGGAAATAGAGGCTCCACAGGTAATTAGAAGCAATTACACTTAAGCATATCGAGAGATATCGCGGATCCAGTGCTAAGCGTAGCCGAACGAAGATATCGGCCATACAAAAAGAGTTTTGAGCACGGATATCGCGCATAATCTAGATGGGTCCCACGGCGCACACAATGAAGGCTCAGGTTCCGCGTCTCTTTTCCACCCTGGCGCGCTTCCTCCACTGCGAATTCTGTCACCGCTTCTCAAGGGAATTTCAGCTCCTACGGTAGCGAAGATGGGGGATGAGAAAGGGGGACGAATCAAGGAGAAGGTGATAGAGCTCCATTGAGGGGGAAATGGGTGATGATCGCCTATCAAGGCCAGAAAGGGAAGTTGGGTGAAGCGATGGGCACTGGGTAAACGATGGGATGCGCGCCTATTGAGCGGAATGCCCCGCTGGTAGTTTGGACGATGGGTCGAATCATGGCCGATCGTCGACAAGCACAAGGTTTCATGGCTTGCAGGCGAGACAACTTTGTAGTGCCCGGGAGAAGAATTTCGCAGGGCGCAATGGAATTGCAAGTGCTGATTCGGAGGCCTTTTTCTCGGGGTGGGTTGTCTCTCCATCTATTCTTGTGCGGCACACACACTCACACCCCCTTTCCACTTTTTCTCTTCTGGGTCCCTCAGGGCTTACAGCTGTCCGGACCGCAGAGGATATGCTTCCGACGTAGCATTGGCTAGACCGGGGAATGACAACCTGGGGAGAGGGGCTGTACAAATTCCCTCCCCACTCAGGTCTTACAAGACCGTGGAGTGAAACAAGGAATTGTGCATTAGCCATTTGGGCACTGATGCAGAGTGCGGATGTTTGCTTCAATGGGACGAGGGGAAGCAGTGACCTGTAAGAGTCAAGTCATGGACGAATTCGCACTCGTGCAGAAGTGGATAACCTGCTGCTGCTGATAGATGGCCAACGTCGTGGAGCTAACGGCACGTCCGACGGCCCGGCTGCGGCGCGCGGACAGCAGGCCATAACATGCACGTCAGTAGTATCATCCTGAAGGCCTGAATCTCAAAAGTCCCGCGCAGTCCTGGGGGTCATTGGCATGATGGCCATCGTCATTGGGGGATGAGAACTGGCGGTAAGGGAATCCCGGAACTAGGTGCTCGAGTATGCCAGGTCCTTAGCGCAGTAAGGAACGAATGTCGTACCGATTTTACAGGATAACCGGTCAAAGGGAAGCAAATGTGGTAGCATCCTGATCCTCTCATGGACCCGGTCGAGAGCCAGAAAGACTGTAGAACAAAGGTACACCACGCAACCGTCCGTAACGGGAAGGTTATTCCCATCCACAGGACAGGTGAAGGAGAGACAACATGGGTGGAGATGGCCATGGCAATGAGACAACATTACTCACCTACGGATCCAGAATCTACACACCAGACCGACGAGTACTCACGGTCCTGGAATTCCTTATCAGGGTATACGATCCCCAACCATGAGTCACTCATCCCATCTCTTCGGAGGCTGAACTGTTTTCTGCACTGGATCGGCTTGACGATGCTATTGGAGTACGTGACCTGTCGATATTTCTTGAGGTCAGTTACGAGGTTCCCACAACACGACAGAGGCTTTTGTCGCGGCACTTGACCATCCTCTGAGTACAACTGGTTGAGGGTGGGTAACATTGCGCCCGAAGACACACCGCTGGGAGGCTAGGTAGGGAAAGGGAAAGAGGAGGGGCAAGGGGCACAGTGGAAATGGCCTTGTAATGATTGATACGGCAACTAAAATCCAATAGACGCAGGCGCGGGCAGGCGGGGGGAAAAAGGCTAAACGGCGAGGGAACAATGGGTGGTATGGCTTACGAAGGGTTCCATGATCCCAGTCAGAGCTGTCAACCTCTCTTGTGCATATTGGTACCAAACTCTCCCCTCTTCATCTGCGTGAGACGCGTCGATGGTGAAACAACGAAGAGGAGCAGCTGGATATTCTCATTATCGATTTGGTAGCCCTAGGCAGACAAGAAGCTCTCCCAGTATCGTAATTGGACGAAGCGGAGACCCGCCGGGACGGCGGCAGATGCTGAACCATGGAAACAAAAGAGACGGTGCAGAAAACTCTTCGAGACCAAAGCACTTTGGTGGGACGGCGCAGGCAATTTCCGTGTCAGAACCAAGAACTGGACAACACCTTGGGACGTCGAGACTAAAAGGAATGAATCTAGTGATCCACCGACGCTCTTGGGCGGACTCAGCCAGCAAGTGCAAGAATCAATCCACCCAGCGTGGCCCCAGGGTGCAAAGCCGGAGCGCAGACACGGTTCGGGTAGGCCCAGTCGGAGGGTCCCGTTCGCGGCTGCGCTTACACCTCCTCCAACCCAGAACACACGGCAGACCTGCCATCACAGGCAGCCAGGAGGTCGTGAACTGCATCCCCAATCTGGCGTGTTCCCCTTTCATGGGGCCAGGGGCTATCGACCCTAGATGCGGCGCTTTTCGTCGAGATGGCCCTGGTCTTTTTCCTTGCAGTCTTTGACGCCGAACGGTGTCGTTTTCCCTGATGTGGGAGAGTGTGACACCTCGGAAGTGGCCGTCAGAGCTAGCAAACATTCCCCCTGTGAGATGCTTCACCATCTGGCACCAGTTTGCCATCTTCCACTTTGTCATCCTCGTTCTGTCTTCTTTGGGAGATGATGGTATTAATATACCTGGGATAATGATGACGTCCATGTTCCCAATCAGATGAGACGTATTAGCAATAACACTGATGGACCAGGAATCTCCCTAGGTGTCACTGGGGACCGACCCAGGTACAAGCCTTCGTTGAGCGCGGTGGACCGAAATAAAAATGCAGGAAGATCACATTGCAATCACTGTCATGGCCTTTCGACGTCTGCCGGATAGAGGTAACATGGAGACGCGAGGGAGGGCCAGATATCCTAGGCCTTCGCTTGGGTGCGCTCTGCTCAATGTGCTTGCAGAAGTCCTCCGCAACTGACCTCTTTCATCATTCAGCATCGTGCTGAGGTTCTAGCAACGTAAAAGTTTCCTCAGGATTGCTTTCAGTCGTTCAAGTTCAAGCTCATTTGCCTCGAAGCTAAAGCTTTTCAGCCTCATGCCTCCAGATTTCGGGCTCTAACCACATCGAATCCTTGTTAGCTGCTATTGTTCATTACAAGGCGTCTTGATCAGAGGCTACCACGGTTTCAGCTGAATAACCCACCGAAGTCCGTCGAAGAATAGCGCCGAATTTCGAGTTTAGCACATGGGGAAGCGATAAACAGCAAGGGAAGAAGCTCAAATTGATTGGGTCAAGTGGTCTTGAATGTTGCGATTGGAGTGGAAGATCTTCTTGGCTGCTAGACGAGACAAGGAAGACGCATGGGTCGAGAGTGACTGCGACCGTGGCGTATGCGTTCTTTCGTCTCTGCTAACTCGTCGAGAAAGCAAGTTCTCAGGCTGGTATGAAACGTAGTAAGTAGGGGCATCCCCTCTTTCCCTGCGCAAAATCTAATGGGCTTGACTGACACCAGTCTCAGCATAGTGCAGCATATGCTCATAGCCCAGTGGCGGCGAACTGGATCTACTCGGAATTTATGGTTAGCTTGACTAGCCTCGCATAGTATCATCGCACAGAAAGTCAAAGTGGTAATGTTAGAAATACACATTCTATCATACCTAATCCGGCGTGTGATCCATGCTGAACCTTATGTCTCTGCGTATGCCAAGTGTTTAGAGCAAGGCGCATCGATTATGGCTTTCTCCGCAGTCAATATCTCGAGCGACTGCCTTTCATCTTCACTTACCATATCTCTCCAGGTGTCTTTGAATTCGGGCTGTCCTTCAGTGAGCATATCAGTGAGCTTCTCAAACACTTCCAAAATATATGAGTGGTAGCCCGTTTTTTTTTTTGCCCTGCAATCAGCTCAAATAAATCTCAGTCTGAAGTGTAACGACTTCATCCGCACACGTTGGTTTTGATGATACCTCTAAAACGCCCCCATCAAGTCTCAGCGAATTCTTGCAGAAAGAACTGAATTTGTATTGCAGGGAGGGTATTGTCCTGGTAGGCCACTGCTTCTGGACTGGTAACTTTAGGCTTGACAATGAATACCCCCTTGCCAAGGGCTCAGCAATTTGTGAGATTCTCCCCCCATAAGCGATGAACTTATGAGAGGAGGTGGCAGTGTCAGGTTCGACGACACCCAATTTTTCCCGCCTCTGACCCGTTCAACAAGGTAAATTGGCTCTGCTTCCTTATGACTATTTTTATACTTCTTTTCAGTGCGCTCCCGGGGGACTTAAACACTTAAAACTTGTGTTTTGGAGTCGCTGCGCTCGATAACCTTGGTCTTCCACCAGAGGATGCGGGGAATGACGTGTCTGGGTTGTTGTGGCTAGCGGAATACGGTACAGAGACCTGCAAAGGCTCGGGCTTTCGTTCACCGGGAGATTGTTGTTTGAAGATATTTGCTTTTTAAAGCGGTATTTGGGTAGCTCTCTTAGGGGTGGTGTCATCGTACTTTTGTTCCTTCGAACCATTTCTGGAGGATTCGGACAATCTGGTAGACGCGCGCCTTTTTGGCGCCGGACACTGGAGCTGCTGCCGAAGCGGGAACGGCCCGAGACGATCGACTAGGCATGAATAGGACTTGCGCACTTTTTGGTTTGGTAGTTCGTACAAATCTTGTAAGTTGCGCGCAGGGAGGATTATCGGCGGGTAACACTAGCTACTAAGGTACGCCTTGATGCAAGATCGGATGAATTAGAAGAGAGATCGAGGAAATCAATGACGAATATAAGCTGCTCGGATGCTATTAGACGAATTCATTGACCCTGGTCCGGGTACGGGTGTACTCCGTAGCTAGCGACAGATTGACTTTCAGGCGGTTCGACGCGGACAAAGGGACCGGGAACTGAGACCAGAAGGCTGGTAACTTCTGGGGCACTTTTCGCGTGGGAAAAGCGCGGGTGACTTTCTTTGCTTCCCGCACCGCTAAACTTAGTGCGTTCTCTCGGGAATTCGACGTCGGGTTCGAGAAGGATTTTGCAGGTCCACCAGGGTGACGAGCAGTATCAATCAACCAACCAACAAGGACAAATACTTTGGTGTAGCCCTGATTCGAAGTGAGTCGCTGGGATTAGAACTTCCTATTGATCCACTTGATCATCAGCGTTACTCTTCATCATTCGGAGGGTGGGAGATAGTGGGGGGTTTTCGACAAGCGAAACGACCCCTCTAGCGGCCCTTGGATCTCTAGCTTGCCTATAGTAGTTTACTCCAGCGCTCGTTGCATGCGTCTGTTCGAAGAAGTCCTAGAAAATCAAGGACTCAATAGTGAAGGAGCACACGACAGCCCTCTCCATGGAGTCCTCATTGACAATCATGATCCCTGAGGTTTTTGAATCTCGCAAGCGCAAGATTCTCGCAGACCTGTCCATCCCGGACGCAGAGTATACTGATCTGTCGCCGAAGGGCTCTGTGGATGAAGGTATTCGCATCCTCATCAATGATATTAATACCCTACCAGGGTTGGTGACCACTAGCAGCTGTGCGGGAAGGATCAGTGTATTCCTGGAGGGGCGAAAGAAGCAACAGCAGCAGCAGCAGCAGCAAGCGGTGTCAGACGAGCAGCAGCAACAGCAGAGGCAGTTCGTACCTTCCGGGGGCAAAGGAGCAGGAAAGTGGTTATATGTGTCTCATGAGCCCTTGCAAAAATATGGGAAGGTGCGAGAAAAAGAGCAAGAGCGCCAGCCACTGCATGAGTTGTTTGGGATGATGCCTGGGGATGGCAGGCCACCCGGTTTAAACAAGGATGGTCAAGCCCCGCGTCTCGTGCGCTTCTCTTTTGAGCCTATGGTACGTCCTTCCCTTCCCCTCTTTGGCACCCTGTTGGTCCCTACCACGCTTGCGTTCTGCCATGATTCTTGCCATGTCCGGGTTTGTAGTGTCAGCCTTATCAGTCAACCCCCGGTTTGCCCTGTAAGCTATGGAGGCTTGCGTTCCATACAAAATAGCACGTACCTTATTCGTCAATGCTCATTTACTGACAAACTCTTCCAACAGATCCTCCATATTATGACAGCCACATTACACCATGCTCACCCCGTGCTATCTGCCGCTTCAACCTCCGGCTTTCGTGAGAGTGGACTGCAGAGTCTACGTTGCTTAGAGGCGAATGACGTTGAGGGCCCAAGCCCCATCGTCGCTGTGCGCTCTGCCGGTCTCTCATTGGAGTCTGTCATCGGGTATTGTGAAGAAACTGATGATGATAATGATGATAATGGAGAACCCATTATCCGCAGTCTGGTCACGGAAGAGTTTCTCGAGATGCTGGTTGCTATCTCGAATGAAAGATTCGCTGTGAACTCTGAACGTAAAGAGAGATTTCGCGCGAATTTGTTAGATCTGTGTTCGACGGACCACACAAAAGCGAAAGGAAAGTCTAAGCCCCCTGGTTGGGAGGATCCGGAGAAGCGAAGGGAGAGGATGAGGGCAGAAGGACTGAAGAGGAAGCAGCTGGCGCAAAATCAGAGGAAGGAAGTTGACGCGGATTTGGATCTGTCGGGAGCAAGTCTGGACTAATTAGAGCTCCCGATTCGGATTTTTATTTGGCTATTTAAATCGAATACAACAGGAATGTGTTCGAAAACATTATGCAAAGAAATGAGAAGAAAGGCATCAGTTTCAGTTTCACGTTAGTAGCTCAATGAAAGAAACGAAATTCGTCAACACCTGGCCGTATATGAAATTGTTTCGACGGAAGAAAGGGACTTCGAAAAGCAAAGCAAACAGCAGAGTAAGGAGAGCAAAATGGCCCCAATGGGATGCAAGCCCATTGTGATCCCAGTTCACATCGCACTAAATCGCTAAACCCAACCATTTCCATAAACCAAAGTACTCCGTTAAGTCATGATCATATCTTCGTTCCTCATCAATACATGACGGTTCCTCTTCTGGTTCTGGGCCGCAACACCAAGGTATGAAAATACAACTAATATCCGCAGATCCTGAACTCTGTCCAGAAGGCAATTCAGGTAAGACAGTACCTATTCAGAAACGCTCAGCACAGCATATCCCCGGTATTCTTACTCCTGCCACGGTGGACCTCACTGGTTCAAATCTTTGAGACAGTTGGGCGATGAATGGGTGATGCGGTGACTAGGAGCTCGGAATTTCTTCGGAGGGCTAAAGAATACCTTCTGACCCCAAATGCCTTCGGTATCAAGCAGGGCGCTGCCGCTGCCGCTGTTCCAGCATTCGCTGGCACGACGCGATGAGGCCTGCAAAACGCTGACCCGGGACACATTCTCGTTTCGGGGCACACTTTTATCAGTGATTGGAGAGGTGGGGGAAACACTGCTTGAGGTGCTAGCCATTGAAAGTGGTCTGTGGATTGTTCCCATGGAGCCGCTCTGAAGAAGGCAGTTGAGCACATTGGTCTCACGATTAACGGCGTCAATCCAAAGTGTATTCTTAGCGACATCGGTTGGCCACTCGAACCAAATGCGACCGAAGGGTGATATGAGAGTGGTATTGTCAGCAGGGAAATTGTTCGGAAACTCGCGACAGGCGCCTTCGAATCTACCGTTTGCGATCACACTGGCATACAACTGCTGCAACTATCAGTGAAAGGAAATAATGGGCGAAGAATGCATGACTAGATGGCACGCCAAGAAGAGTATTGACAAAATAATATAGTTCTGAAGAGATACATACCGCGCAGGTGTCATAGTCAAAGCCAGGCAGGTAGACCAGAGTATCGAAGGGGAACCACTTGCTCATGTCTCCCAACTTGAGAATCTCGCTTTTCTCGCCGGCGTGAATGCAAAGAGTATATTTCTGGCGCTCATTGAATGCGGGGCAATTTAGACCGGCGTAGAGGAGCTCGCGGAGCAGACGTTGGTCAAGCCCAA